CGTTATATATCTGTTTCTAATTTTTCAGGGTTTTATGCAACCAATAACTCACGGAATTGCGTCCAATGACTTGAAAATTAGATTTTGTCATGGAACAACCTGTTTAGCATTCAAGTACCAGGGAGGAATCATTGTGTCCGTTGATTCACGAGCGTCGGCTGGCTCATATATTTGTAATCACTTATATTGTTAATGCTGTCTTAGCAACCCCTGACGTGCACAAGGTCCTGAAAATAAATCAGTTCCTTTTGGGTACCATGGCTGGTGGTGCGGCTGACTGTTTGTACTGGGAGCGTGTGCTGTCTAAACAGTGCAGGTTTGTTGTGTTTCCGTTCTCAACTGTTAAGACTGTTTGAACTGCGCAATAAGGAAAGGATATCCGTTGCTGCGGCTTCAAAACTTTTATCCAATATGCTGTATAATTACAAGGGTTATGGGCTCTCTCTAGGTACCCTGATTGTTGGTTACGACAAGCTTGGTGCTGGATTATACTATGTAGACAATGACGGAACAAGGTTAACAGGTGATTACTTTTCGGCTGGGTCTGGCAGTACACACGCATACTCAATCCTTGACGGAGAACACAGGTTTGATTTAACTGATGAACAGGCTATCGATCTCGGACGCAAAGCTATTTACCACGCCACATATCGAGACCCAGCATCTGGTGGAGTTAACAACTGTACGTCATGAAAGCTTAATCAAACCTTAAAATCTAGTGTACCATGTCGGACCAGAGGGATGGAAGTTCATCGGAGGCATAGACGTATCGAAGCTACACGACAAATATCATCCGAAGACCAACTAATTGCCCATTGTTCCCAAACATTTACTAATAAACCCCTGCTTTTGTCAACTCGCTTCTTTTGTCAACTTTACTACTATTGGCGTCTGAAACTACCTCATGTACTCGTTTTAGAACTAATCTTGCAGAAATATGCTTCTCAAACATGCATTTTGGTTCGTAATACTTCTGATTCTGGCCCTTATATTTTGGACCGAGTTCGTCTTGTTTTACGTGAGCCTTCTTCGGTGCACGTGGCCTACAATTTCAGAAGAGACTGTCGACAAATATATTCACCCGGGGACTAATCTAAAACCCGTTAAAATTCTTCTTATCTCAGATACTCACGTCAATTGTCGCCATCAGTGGATTGATAGAATTCGGAGGTGATGGTTACAGTTAATTTCTAAATTCTTGTTTACGTATATGTTTCTGTAAGCGAAATTATAATAACGTACGTAGTGCTGATATATTTCTACCAGTGGATTTCCAAATGTGCTTTTCCTGTACGTTGTTTGCATCGTTAAGTGTACATTCGCCCTCCCTCTAAAACCTATTTTTAGCGAGTTTAATCTGTCGTGAATACAAAGTCAGACAAATCGAATTATGGTGGATACTTTAAAGTACCTGTATTAGAACTTCAAAATGAGATATCTGCACATAACCTAACTATTTGTAAAATTCAGGCATTGGCTCTTGAAACGTGGTTTTCGAACCATTATGAGTCTCTACCATCCTGATGTGGTAGTACATCTTGGAGACCTTCTGGATCGGGGATATTTCGAAAGTGATGAAGACTTCGAAGAGGATGTTAAAATTGTCAGGGATATATTTGCTGTAGATTCGTCAACCACTGCCTTCAAGATTATTCCTGGCAACCATGATCTTGGCTTCCACTACCAGTATGTAGTCTTCTGTTTTAATTGTTAACTACACTAAAATTAAGTATAGGTTAGACCAAGTCCCTCATGCGGTGGATGCCCCAGTACCCGTTCATATTTCGTACGTACCTATGTGTGCGTTGGATTAATTTGTTACCAAATGGTTCTTATGCCTTAACACCTGCTTTAGGTGTCCTCGACTAATTTCTAACTAATATCTACACTCGATTCTTATTCTGTGAATAAAAGTTACCAAGTTCTCTTCTTTAGCCTTCGCCCCCACACCTACCGGCGCTTCTCCCGTGCCTTCCTGCAGAACCCGTCGGATGCAGGTGCGAATCCGTTGACCTTGTGGGCACACAAGGGCTTGCTGTTTGTCTTCGCTAACAGTATGGCATTTGAGGGTGATGGATGTCAATTCTGCCGGCGGACTGACGAGTCTTTGCAGATCCTCTCTACGCGACTTCAGTGCCTGCGCGGCGAACTGGCCTTAGATTCTTGCCAGGGCGACTTTGAGGCAATCACGGAGTTCGGGAGCGATGGTGCGTTTGTTGGTCGAATTATCCTTTTATTTGTTAAAGGGATCGCCAGGTTGACTATGAATGAAGTAGGGGAGCAAATAGCGTTTCTGGACCATATTCCACTAGGTCATGGACTTAATACTTGCCAGTAACCAGCTGTATTATCCCGTAATTTTACGAAAGGTTTGTTTGAAGGTCACTTCTTGTGAAGACAAGGTCACTCGTAACTTAAACACCTGGGTTCTCGTTCGACGGGGTCTAGCTGGTTTTCGTACACACCAAGGTCAATATTTCCCGCAGATCAAGCCAACAAGACTGTGGTGATATTCAGTAGGAACAGTCCTCTGGGGTTGCGTCCTAATCCACCGCGTGGCGTCTTTATAACATCGATGCTTAATTAGTTTCAACCGGAATGGTTGTAAATATCCCTTTTCGATGAACGAGTAGATTGACGTGAAGTGGGTTTCAACAGCTCAGAAGTATGTTGGTGCTTCTACATAATCTTTAAGCCGTTAATGTAGTCATCACTAGTGTTCCCGAGTTTCGAATGCCACTCATTGTATTTCCTTTGAGGTCACCTGTATGCTGTTCAACTGACAATATCATAATTTCTTTATTTCGGAAGTTATCCAACCAGGGGGCTATTCACACCCGATCCTCATGCAGCACTTCCCGTTATACCGGCCGGACGAAACAGTGTGCAAGGGGGGAGAGCGCGACTCGATGCCGGAGGCGGAGCGTAAAACTCCCTACAAACCCGACTTCGACTGTCTTTCTGACTCCACGACCAGACAGGTATGTCTACGCTCCAATCTGCCGTTGGTTTGTTAGCGGTCTCGAATGTGCACACCTAACTTCATTTACTTCACAGATATTTTTCTCAATTCGGCCACGGCTTGTGTTTGGTGGACACTCCCACTACTACTGCCATCGAAACCACACTATTCGGTTCCGTTTGAATGAACAGTGGAAGTCGGAAGAGTGGAGCCTTCCTGCCTTCTCCTATCGCGTCTCCAAGAACCCCGGCTTCGTATTGGTGGGTTCGGTTCCGTAATTGGCGACTTCACATTGGCCATCATGCCGTGCATTCGTTAATAGTGGTTGATTTACTAACTCTCCAGAAATGACTTACCAGAGAATGCTCATTCATGTGCTCATTTATCTAGTCTGGCTAATCACCGATCTGACTAAAGCTGGCCATTTTCGGACTCGATCTGACCTCGGGTTAAACCCTTGAGGATGCCTTTAATTGACCTCTCTTGTGCACTTTAATGAAGCGGATTGTCAAATCGATCATGCGTTTTATCAGCCAATTTCCGCGTCTAGCCGAAATGCCTTCATCTGGTGACACTACGTTGTGGGGAGTGGTTGGTGTTGTTACTCAAATTTGTCCACTTTTTCACTCGATGGCAATACGGTGTGTACTTGGCTGGCGTCTAGGTTCACCGAGTCTACTCCTTAGATGTGCGAGTCATCTGCCAACATGGAATTGAATTGAATTAGCAATGACTCCCAACGACCCAGGTTTCACACACCTGTTCACTGCTTCTAATTGAATAGTTTGAAAACTGCTCTTTGCCACGAAAAAGACTGGCCAATTCCCTAGCACTAAAACTACCCCCTCCTATGCCCCTTCAGCTTCACGCCTCGCCGAATGGTTACGCGGTGCGTCGGTGCCACCTCCCAACCGAGGTCACAATGGCTCTCAACTACGTCGTTGGTCTTTGTTTGATCGCCCTCGTGTACCTCCTGCTGCGTAGGTGCTCCACCAACGCAGTCGTCACCACCAACCTCGAAGGCAGAAAACAGTCCTGATTGGCGCCTCTGTGTACATCATTCCCATGACATTTCCACTTTCTTTTATCATCTTTTTAATTTTATTCAAGTTGCAAATATACGTCTAAACAACCAACAGATTAACAAGAGTGGTTTGCCCTGTGTGCTTGGTGAAGAGAACCTTTGTCTCCTTTATTTCAGGTTGTGTACTTCTTGTGGTAGGTGTTTCCGTCTTTAAATCTTTCATTATACCGGGTTCATCCGCCTGTGTATGAAGTCAAAGACGCGACATTGCCTATCACGCATAGTTGCTCACACACGTGTCTCTACAAGACTTATTTTTGTTTGGATAGTCGTCTCTGCTTAGTGATTCTCCTCCGCCTCCTAATGATACGTAAATATATTGATTAGTGATCTGGGTTATACCTTTCGACTTAAGTAAAAAAATGTCTAGAATTCAATTAAGCATTTCAAAGCACAAAAAAAGCTGACGTGGGAGAAGCCAAGTCTGGATGGCGCGTTGACGCCTTCTCTTTTTCTTGCTTTATTAGCCCAGTCACTTCCTCTACACACTTACCAATTTGACATGCTAGCGACACGTTGCTCCTATGTTGCGGTAGGTATGCCACGCCTCCGTATTCCTCATGTACACGTGCTCAACAGAACCACATTAGGCTAGGATTTGGGTCTCCTTTGTGCTTAGCTTTGTGTTAGTAGTCGGTTTTGGTGATGCAAGTTAACGGAAAGACGACTGAATCGGGTAATGCGGTTTAGCGATGGCATGCTTACTCGTGTCGTGAACTGCGGCAATTTGGTGCCGTTGGAGAGTGTTCGGCGGTATTCTGTCAGATTGGTGGATCACATCATTCTTAGAGTCGGTGTTTCCGTGCGACAAATTTTGTTTTGAGTTTTGGGATCGAAACACATTAAGCCAATCACACCTTTCTCTTCAGATTGGCAAATTAGGTGCAAGGACCGTCAACAAAAGCACTTTTATACCCAAAATGTATGCCGAATTTAAATTGATCAAGATTTTTTAATTTCAATTTGCTTATATGCTGTAATTGGTGTTGTATGGTTTAAGTCGTTGTGGTACATCACAGTGTCTTTTGGCGGCATGTGCTGTGAACGATTGCACAAGTTTCGAGGAGCTCTGCACTACATCATAAAATGCCTCTCTAATATCTTATTGCAATTTACCGTTCCGTAATTAACTTTCAGCGCTTTATCTGCACCGTATCAATCACAGTCTCACCACTCTGCACACCCACCAAATCCCCAACTTAATCAATGCATGCCCTTGCTTACTTCGTGAGACTCTAAACCACGCACAAGATGACTTGGTGTTTTTTTTGCGATTCTTCGAGTGAGCTTGGTGGTCCATCATTGGTGGACGTGGAGTACTTAAGTTTACTCAAGGAGGTTTTGGTCGTTAAAACGCTAATGTTCTTGCCCACCACATTTACTACTATGATAATGATAGGAAGAGTTAAATGCGCACGAATCCACCTACCTCGGCGGTCACAGTCGGGCCTACGACTTGCCCTCGTGTAAATGATGTCACTGCTACGATGTGTTACGCACAACAGGTGTCGTCCCACCCCAGGGACATATTTAACATGAAATGTGATTTTATTCGATAATACCACTGTCACGACAGGCGCGAGGGATTTCCGCGAGTGATTTGACCGTATCCGCCATTCCTGTTTTGTCGCCCCATTACGAATGACAAATGACAATGTTTAGAAAAACAATGACATTTAATGCGGCCAAATTGTACCGCCCATTTCAAAAACAATTGAATTTTGCAACAAGCAGCAGTGTTGGTGTCTAATGTGATCGCTCACGAGGTTACCTTTGATGCGTCAGCAGGAAGATTGTGGATCTCAAAGAAAATCAGTATTTGTAAATTATTCTGTTTCAACATAGCTGAAAAGAATTGTGTAACAGTCTATGGAGTTTTGGCCTGCTAAGCAGCACTATTGAATTTTGTTAAGTTAACTCGATGGCTTCAAAGAGTGTCGTTCCCAAAGTACGCACTCAAAATGCCCGAAAATTACCTGCTTTTTGTATTGTCATTGGTGGTGTGAAGTGAATCCAATTAGAATGTTGTCACCTAAATAACAGACATTTTGATAGCTAAAGCGGACAATAACGCCAAACAACCAAGTCGCATTTTTGAGTAAACAAGATGTCGCCAATTGGGTTGCTTTAGATGGGTTTGTGGAGAACGTGTTTATTGGCCGCGACGCCTGTCCCACTTTAAACCTGTATGATTTAATGGGATTGGTCAGGTTGGTGTGTATGAAAGTTTGCCTTGGCCCCATCACTCTCTTGTCATTTCTGTTAGGCCGACGAGGCAGAGACTACAGCCAATGCGAAGAAGCGAATCGGCCCGCAGCTGGCCCCGGACGCCATGGCACCCAGTGGGGGTATCGGCCCAGCACTGCCGGAACACCTCGTTCGAGCCCAACTTGCCGAGCAGGCAGAACACGACCCTGGCGGGGGTGGTGTAGATGTAGCTTCGATTGGTCCCTTGCTGCCTGGCTACGAAGTTGTTGAGGAACTAAGGCATTCTACGTCATCGGCTTCACGCAAAGAGGCAAGTTGAAGCCCTACCTTCTACTGCAACTTTTTGCAGGTTCTCGTTTCGGAAATGCCATGTTTTGCGCCCTTTTTGAACAAAATTTCCTCCTATTTATCTCTTATTTGAATAGTATGCAACTCCGCTTACCTGATATGCTAATGGTGGTTTCGTTAACCAACACACAGACACAGCTTAATCAGGCCACGTAATTAGTCTTAAACGTCTTCGATTACATGGGTTTTTTTGTTAGTCCATTTGGCGGAGACGAAAGGTACGTGTGTTTGTGTGTGGGTGTGTTCAAATTCCCAGTCAATTTAGCTGCACTGTATGAATTTTTATGGGAAATGTTGAATAATTTTTAAAAATCACCTGCTACTAATTAACATAACAGCAACCTTGAGAGTAGCCTATTTAAACTTCCACCATCTTATTGGATTTGGGTGGATGTTGCAGTGTAATGCTGACAAGTGTGCCCGCTTATGTGACTCAAGGCCCACCCATTGCAGCCGTTTTTTGAACCGGCATGCGGTTTTAGAAAGCCCATTTCATCGGCGATCGACCTTGAGGGATTTGCGATAACCTGGTTAGTATCCACATTGCAATCCTGAAATCTGCTCCACTTTATGATGCGTGGTATTGCACCTAGCAATAATACAGCCTCCTTATTTGTGTGATGTGAAGGGACTGTGTTGTTTGATCGCCCGCCCCCCCACGCCTTGACTCAAGTGCCTTCTTGTAGGGAAACGCAGCAGCGGCCGACGCGGCTGGCGCCAAGTTGGAGCGGGAGGCCTGGATGACGGACTACCTGCCGGTGTCCACCGACCCCCTGGCCGCTCTCAAGCCACGCAAGTTTCGTCAAAATGCTCCCTTGACCTCCGGTTTGGATGCCTCGTGGTTCACTGTGGCCAACTCCGTCGATGGCGAAAAGTCGCAAACCGCATCGGCTACTGCTGGTGTAAAAATGCCTCCTACATATTGCTTGTTGTCCTTTTTATGCCTCCTTTTAGCCACTTCTCATCTCACCGGCCGCTTTAGTTATTTCGTCTTCTCTCGTGTGCAATTGTCTGTCCGGTTTTTTAATAGCACCTTTTAGGCCTTACACAGCGAAAGTGAGATTGAGAACAACCAATTTTTAACCTGCTCTGATGACGTTCTAATCCTGTGATGTCAGTGGGCTCGGTAATTTGTACCTCTTCTGCCATCCTGTAGCAGTTTCGCTCGAATCGCGTGAGGCCTCCACACAGCCAAGTGTGGTACTTGATGTCGCTCCTCATCCACGCATCCAAAGTTGTCGCTGATTATCCTTCGCAGAGCTCTGCATGTATTTTTCCTTTGTACCTTTCAAGATTCCCAAACCTGACAAACAGTCGACTGTGCTGCTCGAGGCTGCTTCCGCGCGAGACGGCCAGATGATGGCTGTTGCCGTCGAATATAACGTAAGCTGACGGAATTTTGGCAGTTTTTCCACATCATCTAGATCGATTTATTAAACACATCTCCTGTAACCGCATTGTCCGTCGAAAATGACACTCTGACTGTAATTTGTTGAAAAACTTTAGAAGAAGCACAAACGCTTCGAAAGTCTACTCGAGTCGCATCAAAAGAAGCTGGCCAAAGCAGCGAAAAAGGACGAGAAGAGGAGGAAGAAGGAGGAAAGAAATAAAGTGAAAAAGAAAAGACGGAGCAGCAGCAGCAGCACCAGCTCAAGTAGTAGCAGCAGCAGCAGCAGTTCAAGTGAGGAGGACCGGAGGAGGCACAAGAAGCACGGGCGCCACGAACATCGACACCGCAAGAAGGTAGAGCGTTCTTTGTCTGTCCCGTATTCTTTATCCTGTTTTAACTGGCGTAGCTCAGCTATCTAGGCCAAATATCGCAAGGTCGTGCGAAGTAAGGCATGTACGGCAACAAAAACTACTTCGAAGTTAACAAAGTCGCCTCCTTCCTCTATCACTACCCACTCTACCTCCCTTCTCTTTCTGATTTAGCAGATTTTTCTATCCATTGCAATTTATCTGAAATACCGAAAATTTTCAGCAAAACTTTTATTCAGTTTGGTGAACATCGGCTCAAATCCAATTTAGCCGCCATCAGGAAAATTGTGTCGCTAGACTGGAGGATATGTCCGTTCTTGAGTGGCGTTTCTGCCCTTCGATCTTATTGGCTAGTTAAGGTCACTCGCATATATCGTCTTTTGCCACAGGGGGTCATTTCAAACGCGTTCACCTTACTCTGCTGATTGACCTCCCAAAAGCGCATTCACACGGCAACCACGTTTTGGTCTGGGGCCTCAGTAATGCGGTTCCCGTGCACGTTTTCGTGGATTGAAGGCCGATTTCCTTTGATACCTAATAAATACTTCCTCGTACTTTTCCAGAAGCACAGCAAAAAGGAGGGGAAGGGTAAGAAGGAAGTGCCAGCTGGTCCCACTCGGCAGCCCTTCGACAGGGAACGCGACCTCTTCGGGCACCGCGTGGACCCGCTCAAGCGCCGAGCTATCATAGAACGATCCAAACAACTAGGCTCCAAATTTGCCCATGGTGACCAAAAGTTTCTCTGAACGATTACCTCTGTACATGTGAATTTTTTGCTTGTACATATTACATGTTTTTACGCCTATTATTGTACCAAGGAGGGAAAATTATCGTTAAAATGTTAATTTTAGAGCTCTTGGTGTCCGCATAGTCTTTGATTACTGCACTCTCTTCTAATCCGTAGAGGAGATTCGTGCTAGTGGTTGGGAAACTGGTTTTTTCATCAGAACCCAGTTAACATTCAGGGCGCTGGCCACGACTATGTTTGATCTTTCGTTCAATAATCAACTGTTGGGAAATACGCAAGATCGGTCCGGTTGTGGGGGTACAGTGTTATGGTCAAAAGGCGTTAATCTGCGACTGAATGTCGGATTTTGCACATATTGCCGAAAAAAACGAACATACGATAATGGAACTAAGAGAGCTTATATTGGCAGATTACGGTGCTTCTGAGTGTCATCTTCTAATAATTCATTGATTACAGTTTATGTTGCTTGTTTAAATTTATTTGCCGCTTTGCTAATGCCTTTGTTTGTTCGAATCAATATTTTCCTGATGTTAGTTCACTTGACTGGAGCCAAGTTTTATATATTTGTGGTTCTAGAATTCTCAATTCTACTAAGAACCAATATGTGCTAAATAACTAATTTGCCAAAATTCACTGTTTATACTAATTTAAAGGCCAGGTATTATCTTTCGGAAATTATATAAGGTGTACAATTTTAGATGGATCGTGGTCGTGGAAGTTGGTTGGGATATGGCTGAGTCGGGTGTCGATAGAATAGAACATCAAATACCTTTAGAGAGTGCTGCTTCACCTAGCTGCGTTACATCCCACACCAAAGGGAATTACCAAATTTCCACTTGTTTCTTTTAATTACAACGTTTGAATGAATTTTTTTTTCAAATGTCATTTTTTCCTCTGGGCACGATTTTACGGCAGGAGATCGTCGTGTCAAAAAAAATGGACATTGATAATGCATAAACGTTTGTTTTTACAGGTTTTTATGATATCAAAATATAATATGGTTAAAAACGAGAGTGCAAAATGAAAAAAAATGCCAGTCAACTAAACAATGTCATTGAAAACCAGCCTAATAATTTACAAAGGTGTAAAAAAAATGCACTAAGTTAAGCAAGATAATATCTAAAGTGAATGCATTGATTTAAGATTGCACAGTAGTTGCAATAAACGAGAGAACTTTTAATCTAAGGAATATCTTCTAATTCTAAATTTGAGTTCCTACCATTTAAAAGTGCAAATACAGGGGTAGTTTGATCTTTAAAAATATTGTCAATAATTAAAAAGCACTCATAAAGTAGTCCAGGTTTACAGAGGCGCTTTAAATAAAATTAAACAGAAGGCGACATTTGTTATAACTACGTGTTACTGATAACTCATTCAGAATCCCTATATTGAAAATATATCAATTTCTTATGCAATATGATATTATTTGATTGCTCCATAGTTTTGGAAAACCGCAAACGTATTAAACACACGGTTTCAAATAACGACTAGCAGCGCGTAATTGCAGTGAGCATTCAAATTTAATATATTATTAGCGAAAAACTCTGTTGATAAATTGTTTTATTACTAGAAAATCAATGACGGAAAGTTTGGTTTTCTAGTACAAATATGATAAACTTTCATAGCACTGAAACTGAAATTTAATCTTAACATAATCTTTCGTATATTCTCACCGACTAGAGATGTTCGTCAAACTCGTGTAGGCTAATTTACTCACATCGCTATGCAAATTTCACCAAAATTTTACAATTAAAACATACGTTGGTTTATGATTCGCTCACAAATCTTTTGTGTAAAGCAAAAAATTGCGTTGTATGCATCCATTAAAATTTAAGTGGCTTTTATTAACACATTTCGATATATCACAGTGATATAGTAAAAACCTGAAGACAATTTTTTAAAAAATAATGAAAAAATTAACACAAGCGTATACGAACATTGAAATTAGTAATTATTAATGTTGGTTACTCGTGCATAGACCCTGGCAAAGTAAACGTGGCTCCTTGTAATGACTTAATGATATTTTGCAAGTTGGTTTGTCAGCGTCAGTTCCAAAAAGAAAGAATTTCGTTTAGGGGACTTTTGGTCCCATGTCAAATTGTAAAGTACAAAACTAAGGTTTTCAATGTCTCTTTTATGCCATTCACTGTAACCAATTTTTTAAGGCAGAATTATTTTGATTTCCTAGGCAAATGTAGTGATCAAATGTAATTCGCTTATTCACCGTCATTTGTTTTATTAAACCAAATTGCAGTCCAACCCTAATTTGCCGCATTTACTTCACTTCGTTTTTTTGCGATCATGTTGAGGGCTATCAGCTTCTTGCGTTCGGCCGTATGTCGAATAATTTTCTATTAAGCACTTCCTGTAGGCTGTCGAAGGTGCTGCGTCGGTGCGCAATTTTGCCTCAGCAACTGCAACTGCCCAGTTACAGCCTTTCAAGCTCTTTAAACTCAACGAGGGACCATCACAGACAACATCCTGCACAAGGGAGGAGGCATTGAACTACTATGAGACTATGCAGCGTATCCGACGTATGGAAACCACTTTAAGTACCTTATATAAGGAGAAAAAAGTCCGAGGATTTTGTCACTTATACTCGGGACAAGTAAGCCCGTGCCGTATTATTTTCTCTTGTTTTCCCGGTATATAACCTTGCATATTTCTTAAAGGAGGCTGTTGCCGTTGGTGTTGAGGCTGCACTTATCCCCGGGGACGCCATTATTACTGCTTACCGTTGCCACGGGTTTGTTGTTACTCGTGGTGAGCCTGTCGCCGGCGTTATCGGCGAACTAATGGGAAAGGCCAATGGGAACGTTGAAGGTAAAGGTGGAAGCATGCACATGTACGCCAAAGAATTTTATGGCGGCAATGGCATTGTTGGAGCTCAAGTAAGTCTAGTTAATTCACACATTTCTCTTGGATACTTTCGAATGTATAGCGAGCATTTTTATTCCCATTAAGGTCCCTCTTGGTGCAGGCATCGCCCTCCATAAGAAACGAACAGGAACAAACAATGTTTCTGTAACCATGTATGGGGACGGAGCTTCTAACCAAGGTCAAGTATTTGAAGCTTTCAACATGGCCAAACTTTGGAACCTTCCTTGCATTTTTATCTGTGAAAACAATAAGTATGGCATGGGCACTTCTGCCCAACGATCCTCTGCTAACACCGCCTACTACACTCGTGGTGATTTTATCCCCGGTATCTGGGTAAGTTGTTCAGTTCAGATTTAAAATATAGTCTGTCCTCTGTTAATATTTTGTTGGGTGCAACCCGCTTCTTCGTAATAGGGCTGTAGTTCACGCATTCGGACGCTCTGCGACATTGATAGTTGTAATGTAATTTGGATTTCCGTCTCAAAATGTAATATCTAAATGCTCATATGTTTGGCGGCTGTTTTGTATTCAGGCCGATGGCATGGAAGTTTTGACGGTTCGCGAAGCAATGCGTTATGCTGCTGATTGGTGTCGATCAGGCAAGGGTCCTATTCTTGTGGAATTGGAAACATATCGTTATTTCGGCCACAGCATGTCTGATCCGGGAACCAGCTATCGTACCCGTGACGAGATCCAAACTGTGCGTCGTGAGCGTGACCCAATCATCCTTTTCGGACGTTTTATGACTTCATCAGGACTCGCCACGGACGATGAAATCAAGGTATGTCTTGCCGTTTGCTTGCTTTTTGAAATTCTGAACAGGTTAAGGCAAAAGTTAACTATTTCCTGGAAAGGTACAACCGATTCTTGGTGCCAATCTCTCTAGAGTTATTGGTTCACTATTCCCTAAGTAGTATTCCTTGAATCGCACCCAAGCTGGACACTTGGCTTCTCCTCCATTCTGACTTCTCATCACGAATTTTTGACGGCTGTTTTAGGCCATCGATAAGAAGATTCGTCTGGAGGTTGAAAAGGATGTGGAGGATTGCCATAAGGCCCCCATACCCTCACTGGACTCCGCATACACGCACGTGTACCGCGAGCCGCCAGCTAACTTTACTGTTCGCGGTTCCGATATAACGCAGAACATTGTACCAAAGAAGTAGACTCCTTCCCTGTGCAAAACTTCTCTTCTCTCGTCGTACAAGTATCTCTTGACGGTGTCTGTTCAGCATCTAGCAATTTTTCCAATGTGTTTGTAACCGTTTTTGCGCTCTTGGACTTAATATAACCGGTTTATTTAATAGGCTTGGATTAAGCCGGCCTATGACTAAATTCCCGAGGAACGGGGCACTGGAGGCAGCCACATCCTTTTTCATGTACTGCCTCTTTTTAATTCGTTGACATTTGCTATCGTGTTCAAAACCCTTAAGTAAAAACGGTTTATTGCTTAGCTGTGGGTAGTATGGCAATTAACAAGCTTTCCTGTTAAAAACGAACGGTTGGGATAATAATTATGTACTTTACAGTTGCATTTTGCCATAGGTTATCATGCTTTCAGTTATGGTGGTGGTCGTGGTGAAAGGTTATTGTGACAATGTTAGTCTGGCGTGGATCTCTCTCAGCTAACATGAACAATCGGTCCTAGACACGACCCGAAGTGATCAACAATCATGTCCTATGGCTATCAATACAATGAAGAATTAAGGCCCTTTTTGGTTTGCCGCTGTTTCTGGCTCAAGTCTCCAATCTTGACGGTGAGGTGGGGGGTGGGAGACAAGAGCGCGCGGGTGATTTGGGTCGCACTCCGCCTCGGCTTGCCGTGCTCACACGTGCCGGCGCACATGCGTGCGGCACAGGCATTGCGCGCGCGAATATCGATTGCCGTGTGTGTGTGTGTGGACATGCTGTTTGCGGTGACCCGACCCGAATCGCTGAACGTCCTGAACTCGCTCAAATCAGATTTTTTTCTGTTCGCAGTTCGCATAGCCTTTCGCTCTTTCGATTTAGTTTGATTATGCCTGCAAGGTGCTGTAACTACCGTGCCCACGTGCAAGAGAAGGGCACGGTTTGGAAAAAGGTATTCAAACACTACCAGTAGCATAAAACACCCTAAAATTTTGTAGAATTATTGAAGAGGCATAAACAAAGTTTGGGAACTCCCAAACTAAGTGTCTTCAGGCTCAAACCAGTCTTAAAAATAGAACCTAATTTTAAAAAAAGAAGTGGTGAGTGCGAATAGCTTTTCTCAATAGATATAGGTGTAATGAGAATGATCGGTTTGTGTAACTACCAAGACTAGCTGTACTATTAATCATCTTATGGGCACTATGCCAAGGTCTGCTGTGATTTCTACATGGCGAAATCTCTAGCCCATAATTCCAAGGTCAACTTAGTTGGCGTTATGCTGATAAAATTTAGTAACCAGACAATTATTTTTGAAAGGAAGGACAGCGTAGGCTGGCTGAGGGAATTTTGAAGACGTTTAGCACAACGCAATGCAAATGCATCTTTCAGAAATGAATTGGAAAATCATAGGCGTTACAAGAACTGCTCGAATTTTGTATATTTCTCACATTATTGATGTAGACTTAATGGTTTGTAGATCACAGTCGTATTCTTATATTTCCTTGCTATTAAAATTGCAATTTGCATCGACTAAGCGCTGAAGTACAACAATCTGCGAGCTGCCGCAAGAACCGTCTAGACTAATTGGGTTCCCGGATTGGGTAAATTGATATTAGCGATCCGAAAATGATAAATACCGTATCCCCGCCAAATCGTCATTACGTCACAAAATGACTTCGCTAGTGAATTGGGGGTTTTCGAGTTTCTTACTTGATGAAAGGCGTTGACATCGTCATGTCTGCCTATCGAGACCTAGGTGGCGGTGAAAAGGCGACACAAGGAGGCAGACAGGACAGTTTGTCCAACCGCCAGACATGGAGTGGTCAAAATCGATAAACGATGTGGGAGCGAATCAGCCCGAACAGAAAACTCCTTTTAAAATGCACTTTCAAATTTCCAAAGCAATATTTTTAATTGGAGTCGCGTGAGTAGGAACTACAGGGTAAAGCAATGGCGGAAACTATGTAAGACTAATATAAAGCTATTTTATACATCGTTTCCCCAAAGCGACCTATTTTAAAGGCCTGGCTGTCCCTGACACGAACAAGCGTTTACATATAAGGGGATTTGGAGGACAGAACGGGGGCGAGCACAGGAAAGAGCTGCCCGTCGATTCGATCAGTAAGAAAGGGAAACGGCTTGTACTTCAGTTACTGTCATTTGAATAAATCACTCTACTTTAGCTTGAAGCTTTTTTGAAATAAAGTAACTGTTTTACCTCGGGAGCAGCAAACCACCACTGGATGCGGTGCCAAAGCTTTCTGGTAGACGCCCGAATACCAAAGTAGACTAGTCCAATTACCACTTCAGGGAAATTTTCCGTGTCGCTAGGAGACGAAAACTCAACTCAACAGCGTAACAAGCAAAAAAATGAGGCCAGAAGTGCAGGGGGTCGTCGCTCACCTACAGATTCATTTGGAGAAGTAAACCGTTAGCAATCCAGTTTAGAAATATCGGAACCATGACTCACGAAATGATGGTTTTTGATGGGTCCTTCGGTAGCCACAGACTACTGATGTTAGGCGTTTCTACGTATGTAAGCAATATAAAGCGACGCTGATTTCAATCATTGAAAGAAAAGTTGAAGCAGCTTCAAGAATGCAATCTGAGGAATGGTAGCCAGCTCATTGGAGGTCTAATAAGCCTAAGTACAATCTCCAATCCGGTGTCAATCAACAAGAAAATCATGATGATTTGATCAGAGGCACGCACACCCAGCAAATCGAGGGACCTGGTTAGGTAGTAAGGTTGAGATTTCCAGAAAAACCTACTTTCATGGACAATGTTGTCGTATTTTGGAAGGATACGCAAACCACTTTTCATCAGTCCTACTCGATTTTGAACAATTATCTGTTGAATGATTGCCATAGTACTTTATGTTCAAGTAAAATTTAGGGTTTGGTGGAAAAAAATACGAAGAAGTGATTAAGTTAGACATCTGGGAATCATCATTTACTCATGATTCTCTTGTCCCTTACATTGCCTCCCCCAATGAACGAAATACATTAGCTAGGGCACAACTTAATGAACGGAATTTCTATTGGAAGTACACCTACATTCAATCAATAGTTTAACAAAGTGAAGAATTTTAATTGTTATGTTCTCATGGTGGACTTTAGCATCAACGGCTAGTGAAATTACTGAGCCTGAGTCAGATAAGTGAACCCTTTTAACTAAAAAACTGTGCGCCTTGTTGAGTACGGCATGTTGAGTGCTTATCCTTTTATTCTTCAAAAGAAACAAATCAAAGACTGTAGTCATGTCAATTGCCTGACACCTGAAGATGTCACGGGGAACATCTGACACCATTACACACCGCGGTGCCTCTTAGATGTGGTTCTGTTTGCAGGACTGAGCCGTGAAGGACTCTCAATGCACACTCAGTCGCCAAATCGACGGTGCAATATTATGGCGCCACTTCGCACGTAGTGGCATGGTGCTGTGGAGGCCGAATCGAGTCAGCCGACCAAATTAAAAAGACCACAGACGACAGAAACGCAAGGGTGTTTTAGACGGCTCTTCTCAGGTCTGTTTGAGTGCGTGTCCAAGAATGTGTGCTTGTTTAAAAATCCAATTCGTGCGAGCTAGTAAACGAAGGGCCAGATGTGTTCTACAAAGACCACAGCAGTGGAAACACTGGAGGGCCGTGAGTTGATCCACTACAGTCCCAAAAATATGACTATTTTGCAACCGAAAGTGAACAAGCGGACGGTCGCGAAAGCTTCTAGTTATGGTAAATTTGTTAAATGGGAAAAAGCGACGAGAAGTTGGCCGTTTCGCGCGGGTAGTAGGTTCCAGGCTTTAGGACCACGAGATAAATCAACCCAGGGTGAATCCCAGAAACGCTGGTCCCATTTTGGCATGCGTGTCACGAGGTGTGGATTGACTATTTTGGTGTGCACAAACATTCACACACGACAGGCACACACGCCTCTATTTCGTGTGCGCGCGAAAGCGAACGATTCTGGCTCATGTACCAACCAAGAATGCACACGTGAAAGCTGCAATTTGCAGATGCCTAATCTGCGTAATCTACTGCTAGGAGTATGTGCTGCGTCCGCAAAATGCTGCTCATTTCAAAAACTGCGATTTATTGCGGTTAAAGCTCTGCCTTCAAAAACACCTGTGGGAAACCAATGGAATTAACTGTGCACTTCTTTGCCTCTTTCTTTCTACCATTTACATACGTTAGTGGAGAGTTGTGGCCACAAATATTGTTGCAATATCTTGGCAGAATGTATACACACGAAACACACTCGGCAGATGGCCGAAATCAGGAGATTTACGTTGGAAAAACTACTAATTTTTAAAAGACACCAATTTTCAACCCAAAATATCGATTAGGAACTTTGTGTGAGGATAAGGTCCAATTCAGAAAGGCGATTTCAATCGAAGCGGTTGAGAAGAGGCCTGTTATTGCGACTAAGGAGTTCATTCTACTGTCCTATTTTTGCGTCTGTTATAAAGGGGGAAATATCGAATTGGGGATTTCGTCTGACCCCGGAGTTTGATTCATTACTATCTGCTCATTGCTAAAACTCTGACAGCCCCTAGAAGATTTCGTGATGGACCAGTGGAAGCGATGTAGATCTTACTCCACATTCTCAGGCCATATAAAGCAACAGACTTTGCAGACAAATTGTGAAGAATCATACCTAAGCCTGCTCAAGTTGACCAAGTTCTTCAAATTCACCGCTCCAACCGGACACCAAAACGCCACATCGAGGAAGGGCGTGTCAGTCTTAGTTGTGACCTGAAGTCTGGGTGCAAAATTCCGCTGGTGGCCGCTCTCACAGTTGCCTCGACAGTTCACCACACCCAGATTTTAGTCGTCACGTGATTTGTTGGTCCATCATGGAAATTGAAATCGGTCCAGTGAACAGCCGTGCCCTACATTGAACTACCTCACTAAGATTCCCCATACCTTGACAGTCTATGAAGAAAAGTCATAACTGCAGCTTCAAAAGCAGCTCTGGAGTCTAGACGATATTTAATTTATTTTAAGTAAATAACTCTAACACAGATTCGTAGCAAGTTTTGTCAGTCGAAATTAAAATTGACTAGGTAAAGGACGATTCGATTCCAGACCAAAATGTTACTCAGGAACAAAGTCTCCTATCTTAAATGGCACAAACAAGAGTTTTTAATGAAACCAAAGGTATCTTAAATGTCGACTTAAGTGTCGTATGATGGCGACACACAACTTGAACTGCAAATTTATGCGGTGTCCTGCTGGTGTCTTCAGCGCGTGGGCTGCCTAAAGGCACCAGAGCATGCGACATAGTGCGTTATATCCCATTAAACAGCCAACCCCAGTTTGAGGTCTCAGTGTACGAAAACTTGGTTTTAAACTTGCCGTTGGAACATTTTCTTGCAATTCAGCATTTAATTTCACTGCAAATTTTAAGGAGACGTCTTTTTTTAATCACGCCTACACTCAAAGGAGATCTGGTGGCTATAAAAATTGAATTCGAAGAGAACGAAGCCATTCCAAATTACATCCCTTTTGTCTTTGTTTAATTCAGGTTTAATTGAAATAAAAGCAAGGCTGATTGGTTGACCCATTCATCGTACGTCCACAACTTTTCTCCAAAATTAAGGGAATGATTTTCCTGCAGCTCCAGGCTTGCGTAATTTTTACATTTATATTCTTGTAAGAAATATAAATTTCATTGCTGGTGATTCATAAGTCATATAAATATGGAACCAGCAATGCGATAATCAGTGAATGCAACTTGCAAAAAACCCTTAAATTTGACTTATTCGGTTCACAAAGTGGGTAATTGGTCAGTTTACTTAAAATTACACTTGAGTGCTGTTAACCGTCATGTAAAGTTACTTTGTCTTAGGATCATAGGCGTAGAGCCAAAAGAACTGCCGAAATTCAATTCAAAATTACCAATTAAATTCAACCTCTTAAACCCTACCTCGTCCGCATCAATTAGCAGTTGTGAATGTTCGTGTTGGTTAATTTAGTCAAGGCAGAAAAACTACAAATGAATTTTCATGTTCGGTCATCTTTAACATTTGCACTAGAATGAAAAAACTTGCATATTTTGTGATCATGTTCTACCGAAATTATTCTTAAATATTAATTCGGTAGAAGAAATTTATTAAACAATGCAAACACGGATCACGTGTTTGACTTAGTTTGTGCAGATTATTAAGCAGACTTAAAATTATATTTAAAGGAGATGTGTATTCGCGGTTTTTTGTGGTTTTGAAAGGATTGGATGCACCATTTCAGAATATCAAAAGACAAGTCTACATTAGTTACATAACCTTTCGCAATGGCAGAACTTACGATGGCAGCTAACAAACGGCACAGTCGGAACTGCACTTTATGCGAATTCCAGTAATGCAGAAATGAGATTCAATGTGTAGCACTAATGTTATAAAATGTGCAGCTTCTGTCGCAAATGTTTTAGTTGTTGTGAATTTGATCTCAGTGACCAGTCGTGTCCCGGACAGCCTCAAAGTTGAAAAATGTGTAAATTGCATGCTGCACTAGATGGAGACTCAACGCAAACGCAACAAGATCTTGGAGATCAGTTAGGAGTCATCTAAACACCAATTTTAAAGCGTTAGCACCAAGTCAGGAAAATCCAGAAACATAAAAGATGGGTCGCAAATATGCTGACCGAACGCGACCTATGTCAACGTATGAACACATGCATTTGACTATTTGTCCGTCGGCTACGAAAAAGGAATTACTGTGAAAAACTGCGATGGGTACTTAATTAGTATATGTTTTATGGGAATCCAAAACATAAAACGTAGTGTGTAGATCATGGACAACCCAGTACATTAGTGCCTAACCAGGACATCCATTAGAAGAAGATTCTCCTGTGTATCTTGTGGAGGAATATGAAAGGCGTACTTTATTGCGACCTCCTGCAAACTCGCTGTCGGGCAGTGACTACGAAAAGCTAAAGCCAACAATTTAACAAAATAAAAAAAGAATGTGATCAAAAAATTTATTTACTGGCCAAGAAAGCAGGCAGGTCATACTACAGCGTCACAACGCTTGACCACTTGACGTTGCTCGCAAGACTCAGAAGACCCTCTTGAACTTACATTGGTATCTTCTCTCAAACGCGCCGTATACACGAAACATGTCTTCACCTGATTGCTTTTTATTCCGCTTAATTCAACTGTACGCACTGATGGATAAACCATTCAGAATCGTGGACGATGTGAAAAAATTTGTCCATGAATTTATTGTCGGAAATCCTGCAAGATTCTTCTGCAAGTGCACACGTACGTCAATTGGCAGATGGCATAAAATCATAGACAGTATTGTCGAGATGAATTTTGCAGTTATATATATATATAATTTGGCGAACAAATTCGCACAAATGAATCCATCAATTTGCATTAAACTATTTGTAGATTCCGATGAATGCGTAACAGGTTAGGTGGTTAACAATCTGGAACTTATAATTTTTATTTTACAAAGCTGCAGTTAACTGAGGCACAAAATTCAAAATTAAAAGAAATTCACATCATCTCCATAAAGTCACTTTAAATCAAAATTTGTATAATCGTCGCCCTAGGATGCCAATAGTCGTTCCAATAGTTATGAGATTTGGTCTAAGAATTAAGGCTAATCGCAGGCAACTGGCAAAATGAAATTATATTTGTTATAATAAGTAGTGAAAAAATATTTTAAAAAAATGTTAATTAGATGCAATGGTAGAGCAGTACTATGGCATTTTTTGTTAAGTTCCATAAAGTACAACCATAATATAATGTTGGTTTATTAATTACATAACCTTACCCTTTATATGCTAATAATATCTAAAGGTCGCAATTTTGTAATCAGTATATTAGACATTTATCTTGATCAGAGATAATTATGTTCAAATTTGTTTTAGTTGCCTAATTGTTTTAGTGGGCTAATCAATACGGACTCAGTTAACCAATAATTTTTTGCTGCTAGGATTGTGGAGGAGTAACCGCGAATAAAATTAGTCACTGAATGCGCAAAAAAAATTAAACCACCTTCGTTCAACCTGCGACGTTTTCGTTTTTGGTATTTTTTACTTTTTTGGCTTATTTAATAGTGGATACTATCATTTTTAATTTTTTATTGCAAAGTTTATATTGTGCATTTTGTTCGTTATTGTTTAAATAGGATCTTTAACAAGTTAACAAAATCTTTCTATCCATTTATATATATATATAGCCCATTTGCTGTAGGTGATCAATTACGTGTTATTTTTTGTTTTTTTTGCCACGTTGCGGTTATAAGCTGTTCTTTCTCTTCTATCTTTAGTTTATTATGTTTTGTCTCCCGATACTTTCTTGGTTTTGACTAGCAGTTTAAAATAGCCTCGATGAATAGTAGTGTGCTTTGCTTATTTTGAGTTGTACCATGAGCTAGGATTTACTTGATAGCTTCAGTGATTTTTTAAGATACTCTTTGGAAAGTCTTGTCTTGGTATTGTGTAAGCTTAATGCGTTTAGCTTCCACATTTTAACCATTGTTTAAACTGTATGTGGCAAGAACTTACCCAATCACATGTCATTTAAAACTCACGTGTGGTTCCTCACTAACTGAGCTTGGGTTTTAGCATTTGGCTTGTTGTGCATCACTGATTGGTTGAGTCATTCATCTTTTTTGTTTACACATCTGCGTTAAGATTGACCGTAATTGAATTGTATGGCCGCATCGCGATGTCTTCGCTGCAACGTTGCTGCGTCGTCCCCAAAACGGCAAAACTTGTTGACTACCCTTCTATCCGCCTGCCTCACTCAAGCACCGCGACGGGGGTTTCGGGAGATCTACGACGACAGCGGTTCCATTTCACAGAAAAAGGTTTCCTCTGATGAGGTGAACAAGCGCATTTTTGAAAACGAGTTCCTTTGTTTCCCAAGAAACAAATGTGTCGGTTTCACTGCAAATCAGGTGCGTCTACTTCTTTTTTCCTGTCTTTGAACTTTTGTTTGATTGGCTTGCTATCACCAGTTTTAGGAAAAAACACCTGCTTACTACAACCCTCCGGTTTATCCTCCTGGGATTGTGCTTCTACAAATGCTTTTAACTATTTATGTTATTTTACAATTATGGCGGAACTGACCCCTAAATTCTATCGCTATCCTCTCAATAATTTTTTGTCCTCCGTAAATTATTGTCAGTATTTCAAACTTACACTCATGTTTTAAAAATAATGGTTTTTATTAAATGTGTTTACAAGTGCTCGATGCCACTTCAAGCTGCCTGTTTGCATTGCTTGCATGGGTTGACCGATTGTCAATTTACAAGGTGAATATGTTTGTGCTAACATGTCTTGTTAATCGGTGTGCACACTGTAAAAGCGGTAATGTTGCTTTGGTATTTTGATTTGACAATGTAAAAATCACAGCCACGAATTTCCTTTTACAAAAGTACGCCTTGAGGAGCCTATTTCTCTTTACCGATTTTGCAAACGAAGCTGGAACTTTGCTGGAACGATATGCGGTGAACTTTGTCGATGGTCGCTCAGCCGATTCCATTGAGTCCTTTACTTCGACGACATTAACTAATTTGCGTGCTGTTTTTTGGTCCCATTTTATGCTGTTTATTTTTGTGATGCACTGATGATTGAATTTAGTTCTCATGGTGGCTACTTGTAGTTTATTTGTTGTTCGTAAAAAAAATCATAAGCAATTTTACCGTATTGGGAAAGTAACGATATTAATCTCTCTTGATTGCACTGATACGCGCTTGTTTTACAGAGGGTGGGTGTTTGTACCTACGTGACGCCATGGTCGGTCAACAAAAAACGATGCTTTTTGATTCCTGTCTACTTGCGTGTTTGTACCGCCCAACTGACATTCTGGTGCCTCCGAAATTAATCACCAGTCTGAATTTGTCAACTTTATGCAATGCATACTTATAGTGATTGTGCGATTTCGAAATAATTCCGCACTAATTGGGCAACACCATGCTCGTGAATCTAAATTGACACGCATTACCCTTTCAGTCACTGAATATGTGTAAAAGGTGGTGGAATTTAACATCCGATCAATGCGCTTAAAATTTGGTACCATAAGTGCCGGTTGAAGTGCTTGTCTTTCACTGGAAGGAATTTCTAAATCGTTTCTTTACGGAATATGTCTGAAAAAATTTTTTCATAATGAGTAGTTGCATCGTCGTTTATGACGTCATTAAGGTGTCTGTGCTTTTGCATAATCACAGTAATTAAGCCATAGGTTAATGACCTTGTAACCAAATTCTGTTCGTTTCATTGGTGTGCTATTTTTGCTCTGAGCACACGAAAAACATAGGAACTGTGAAATAACATGCGTTTTACTACGTCAATTGCATGTGTACCGTACTCATCCAGCCTTATCAATGTGTGTGTCGTTTAGCCAATAATAATCTTCCAACCAATCTGATCTCGCTGCCAAATCATTGCGTTTTGACCACCCTAAAAAGCCGTCTGGTTAGAGTGACGTGACGGTTCGTCGGTGGTGCTTGAGGGGCGCCAATTTCACTCTGTTTATTGTTTCTCTTATCGGACGCGCGCACACGCGTTCACATCGATTCCGCCCATGTAGGTAACATAGGTTTTGCGTTTACAGACTTCGTGAAAGCATTGAATGTCAGTCCGATTGGCTGTTAAGCGCTGGCGTTCTGCGTTATGTTGCGTGGCTACCGATTGGTGAACTCTTGTACTTGCTTCATCCCCGGTGCCCTGACTGTGCGGGGGATTTCAATACTCATGTGGTACATTTTAGGCATCTAATCTTTTTCGACAACGAAATTTGAAGAGTAATTTCATGGGAATTGTAGAGAATTTTGGGGTGCCATGCGAACAGCTTGTCGATGATCACTTATCCAACCCGATAACAAACTAAATCCGGTGTGTTAGGTCACAGCTAAATGGCAATTGGGGCTCTTGGAACCATCGCCTTCAAATCTTAAGTGTTCGTGGGAAGACGTCACACTCCCACGCTCGCGCACAACCATCGTCGAACTGTGCGCACACTGGGGCACTATCACAGCCCCCTTAAATTGTAACTAAAAGTACGACTTTCGTAAACACTACTCTGTTATTTGCCCTGTCAATTCTCAATCCTCCTCCTCTTCTTTTTTTAACAAAACAGCTCGGCGTAAACCGTCCGGTGGAGGATCGTTGGTCGGCCTACCGCATCGGTGGAGCGATGTGCTTCGACATGCACGAGGGCTTCTACAACTCGTTGCATCCGATGGCACCGTTCTCGGACGAGTTTTCCGGTGGCCACCTCTTCACCGTGGTCGACGGCCACGCGGGTCACACGTGCGCCCACGCCGTAAACATGCTCCACGCCGACTACGTCACCGCTGCTCTTGCTCCCCAGCACCTCGTCAAACCCATTTACAACGCTCTTTCCCAACACGACTTCTCTCGCGCTCCACCACAGGTAGTGTGTGATTTGCTTCCTGGTGTTAATTGTTGCGTCAGCCGTGGTAGCCTGCCTTTCGGTAGCCACGACGCGGTGATTTTGATCTCACCAAATAGGTGTGATAAGCTGCCTGGAACAACACGAGAACGGAGATAGACCAGATTAGTGTGTCTCAGCGTTGTTATCGAACAATCGCCAACAACAACAATAACAACTAGTAAAAGATGGGTGTGTCATTGACATCGGATCAACTTGTGAGCTAGCCTCACTCACGTGCTCCCGCTGGCGATTTCGCAAACATGTAGCCTGTAGAAAGAAAGTTTTCGAGACTGTGTGGATCTCATTCGCACACAGTCAATTCTCAGATATCGCTGTGAACTCATGGATCTTTCCAATTGCATCTAAACAATCTCATTAGCGTGGAATCGAAGTAGTATTCTCTAATCTTATCGAGATCGTTTTCCTCGGATTGGTTTCTGACGTCGTATTGTTGTCAACAACTGAAGGGGTGTCAGTTGGTTTGTCTAATCCGTTGATGGATTGGTGATCAAAGCTCTTTTTGATTGGTTTCTGCCCCGCTCTTGGGTACGACCCCTAGTGTAACCCTTGTACGAGGCAATCTGGTCGGGTCGTTGATGTGGTTTTTGTGGTGTTCCTGCCACGCACACGAAAGAACTTGAGCCACAACCTGCGTTGCTCTATTACCACGAGAACACGACATCGACGAAGACATGTATTCGTGTTAAGACGCACCAACATCCCCATTTGCACTCGATACTCGTTTGTCTCCAATGTGCTGCCCTCAAAACTTGTAGACGAACCTACTTGTGACACATTTGTGCACATCGTTTTACACTTGAAGCACTAATTATTGCAAGGTGGTTAAAATTTAGCAGTGTGTGTGGTTGTGCCTGCTGGGATGGGCACATGACTGCAAGTGCCAAATTGCTCGCACCTGGTTGGTCGGTCGGCAAACCTCAAGGACGATTGGCCAGCTGATCAACCGCGCCCATTTTTCGCCCTCTTATGAAATCCCAATCCGGTGGGTCACGGAGCTGAAAATGTTAGTCGCCAGTGCGTGAAATACCGAGTGCGAGTTGTGAGCTGTTTTTGAGTTCGCTTCAAGCACATTATTTACCACAATATCCGCCTCCAACCCACTGTTGTTTCTGTTTTCTATGCCAAATACCGATGTTTCACTTTGCCTCAACCACCGGCTTTGAAAAACTAACTCATCAGACAACTCAAGTCAGTTGAGTGTGCGTCTACGCCTAAATTATCGTAGGTACGCATAAATAGAAGACCGTGGGTGTGTCCGTAAATGATTTTTAACCAATGACGTTTTGGTGAGGTTGTAGACGTGCAAAGGGCCGAATGCTAATGCACGTGGGACGGGTCTTTATCTTTTCGACGCGGCGAGACGTTGGTAAAGTGCGCACTGAGTGATCGATACGTCTAGACACCCATTGGTGCAGGAGGGTAGATGTGGGTTTGCGCAATTCGCTACACCTCGACCGGCCTACCCGGCAATTTAACAAGCTAACAGTGAAGTAGATTGCTAATGGCTACTTTGTGTAAGGGTTAATTAACGCTGGCTCTAAAAGACGTCTGTTTTTATTAGGAGGTGATATCTTAGTTACTGGCTGCTTTGCAGTCGTTTCGGCGTAACGCCCTGGCGTTTGCTCTCTGCATGGTTTGATGTATGCGCGGAATCACTTTCTCCAGTCAGCCATGCAATTAAATTCTGCCTGTTGTTGACTATCACGCAGTATACTCTTTGAAGTCGACGCACATAATCACCACTGTCATCTTTGTGGTCGTTTCTAATTACACCCACAGGCAGCTTAACTCTTCGCGTGATTCTAGGGCTATCCCCACAAAATATTGATTTTCCGGAAGCGTAATTAGGACCAAATAAGCATTTTAATCGCAAAACTCTGGGCCCCTGTTGTGTGGTCGATTTCCCTTTCGTTGGAGTTCGAGGACTACGCGTCTCCCGAACAATCCTTGTTGACGGGCGACTTGTTTTTTTATTTGGTTATTGTCCGGCGCCCCAGTTGCTGGATGCTCCAGACACTCAATGCGTCTTGCACTATCACGCAGGAAATTCACCGGTCAACTCAAATGACCGCTGATCGCAGCGTGTTTGCGAGTACAATGCATGGAATCCGATTGTACTTTTGAACGGGTCAAACTCATAATGCGATTTGTGTACTTTTTTGGCGCGAGGTTGCGCATAAACTCGTTCCTTTTATGTGCGATACTTAATTGTTTTTTTTGAAATGTAAATGTGTGTGCAAGTATCACAATTGGCCGTTTGTTTGCCTCGTGAGCTCGTGGGAAGTCGCTATGCTTGCTGGTGCTCGTTTTTCCCCAGAAGTACCTATTCTGTCGGGTTAGGCAACGTGTTTGTTTATGGAGTAGCGTTCACATTGAGGTGTCTGGACTACCGACGCTGGCCAATTAAGAACCAGTTATCGCATAGAACGGTGATTACGCAGCTGCCATCATCTGGTAATCTGAGCCTTCGATCCTCAAAGCAAAGTGTAGTCGTGGATTCAGGAGTTAACGTGGAGGGCTCCTGGTGTCAGCATATGCTCGGACAGATTGCTTAACGTAGCACTCGGGCTGCTTTGCTTCGGGTCGCGAATTCGTTGTTGCTCGGTCCTTCATAGAGGTACCTATTCTGTCTTGCTACTTCAACCAAAGCTATTTGCTTTATCCCTTGCAGGCCAGTGAGCTGGCACAGCCGTATCTCATGGACCCGTGCGCCGTGATGACCTCGTCTGCAGACGACCCAGACTCCGCGACCGGACCATTCGCGCACGACGACCGGTACCTGGACTGGCGTCTATGGGGCCAGTGGGGGCCCCTAGACGCCCAAGTGAACCAAAGACGTCTCTCAAATATTCACCTAATGCTGAAAGAACGCTTTCTAACCACTAACTGTGATGCTATCGGTAAGGGGGTAGTTGCTAGCGCACTTTATCACCACTTCGTGCCAGTGAATGAGTTATATCGTGGCTTTCTCCTCGCGCTAGGCGATTGTGTCCTGCACGCCAACGGCAACGTCTACGATGGCGAGGGTTTCCTCGTCTCAGAGGGCTCGGAGTTTCCCTCGGCGGATCTGCAGGTGATCTCAGCAATGGCCTCCGCCCTGCGAACCGGCCTCGCGCGAATGGACACTGACATCACCGCTGATGCTGTCCCGCATCCCGAGAGAGGTCTAAACAAGTCCCTCCTTCGCATTGTCCTCTCTGGCTGTGTTGCTACCTCCATCTTCATACCCGCTGACTTCTCATCCATTTACGTTCTTCAGGTTAGGCGGCGCATTTGTCTTTGGAGTAGCCTTCACCTTGAGCTGTCTGGACTACCAACGCTGGCCAGTTAAAAATCAGTTGTCGCACTCGACGGTGATTCGTGGTTGCTGTCATCCGATAATCCGAATCCCTGATGTCCAAAGCAAAGTGTAGTCGTGGACTCAGGAGTCAACATAAAAAGCTCGTAGTGTCAGCTTAGGCTCTAACAGCCTACTTAGCGTAGCACTCGGCCTGCTTTGCGTCGGCCATGAATTTGTCACTTTTTCGGCGTCGTATACGACAGTAATTCGACGGTTAAGTTGAAGGCTGTCGAATTTCCGATTTTTTGATGTTCCGTTTTTTCGAGTTCATCTACTGATCTCTCGTTCCATCACTTTCGCTGTAGCCGTATTCGCTGCCCCTTTCCTACTCTCCATAAATTCGCTAAATTTCTCCCTCTCCTCTATTTACATTCTCAGGTGGGTGACTGTGGTGCCGTGATGGGTCGATATTTGGGACAATCGAAGGGGACCGCTGAGCCGACCGTAGCCCTACGCAAAAAGTTCCACCCCGCCGATTGGTCCGCCGAGTTGCTTGTGCCACCCCACAACGCCAGCAACGTCCGCGACGTCGAGCGCCTGCAATCTCAACACCCTATCCACGAGGCCTCTCTCATGATAGTCGAGGACCGTTTGCTCTGTGAGTGGTCGCTTGTGTGTGTCCGTTGATCCCGTACTACTGTGCGCAATTTGAGTCAACCACGAAACTCTGGCTAGTATCTGGTACCGAGGTGTTGATTGGCTCCGTTGGATTAGCGTGGCCGGTGCTACACGCGGATGCATCGGTTGTTTCCGCCCACGCTGCCATGATTTCACTGTATCACCAACAAGCCCACTCATTCACACGCCTACTTTACGGACACCACGAATGCCACAACTGGGGTCTCTGTGCTGATGTCGTTTGTAACTCCTTTAAATTCTGACGCAACGCCGCTCTTCTTTTCACACCGGGTGTGGTAGTAATGATAGTTGGTTAAGTTCAACCGATCCGAGCGACTGGAGTTACGTGTGTCGAGCGTTTTGCCCGACAGTTTATTTTCTTTTCAAGACTTATGAAGTATAATCCTCAACAGTTCTAGGGAACTAGTGACACCCCCCAGAAATGTGTGAGCTTGTAATGTTCAGATGTGCGAAGTTGAGTCGTCGGCCTCGTGAACCGATGTTTGACTAACTTTCGCACCGTTTTTCCTCGAGGTGAATTAATCCCACTCCGCGCTTTCGGCGACATCCGCTACAAGATGCCCGCCAAGATTCTGCAGAACATCGCGCGCTTGTGTGGCCTCCCACCAAACTACCCCGTGACGCCGCGTCTCTACACCAGTCCCCCCTACCTGTTCTCCACCCCACAGGTCGTCTGCCGACGTCTCGACAAGGCGCGTGACCTCTTCGTGATCTTGGCCACAGACGGCCTCTGGGACATGCTCACCCCCGAGCAGGCTGTCAACGTTGTCGCGCAACATTACATCGACTATAAGGGCGTAAGTCATCTAATTCTACCACTACTCCATTCTCCCAATTTGGCTAGTGTTCCATTCTTCGAAAAGTCACAGGACTACATTAAGCTGGGCTTGTTATCCAAGTAGGGATATTCGGTGGTTAAGCTGCACGTGACTGCAGGGCTTTGTCGCTAACTCTCTTCCGGACAGTAACTCTGATTAAGTCCGCGTTCCACGCCAGTGGTTCTGTGTGTGTGAACTATTTTGCTCTGCTGTAGAATCCGTCAAATGCCGGACCACGGGACACGGCCGCCAGTCGGCTGATTCGCACGGCACTGGGCGGACACGAGATGGACACGTCGAGAATCGCGATGCACCTCTCGGTGCCTTCGAATATGGCACGTTTCTACCGTGACGACATCACCGTCCAGGTTGTCTATCCCACTCGCACACCGTCCTAGCGCGCACCGCCATTTTCCGCTACCTCCACGGCAACTCTCGGCCCTGTACAGACGCCATGTGTACACAGTCGCCATGCCAACCCCCTTCTCTTCTCGCGTTCTCATAGGCATCAGGATAGACGCCATCCTCTTAATTTTGGCTCCTTCCCCTTGCTCGTCCCCACTGACCTTGCATTTGTTACACTTATGTTCCCTACGATTTCCCCATTTTTCTTTCGTTGCTGCCTTCACTGGTTACTCAGGCGCGCTTCTAGTTATGCTGCAGCTATGTGTACGTGAATATGTGTGTGTGTGTGTGCGTGTATGTGATAAGTTAAGTGTTGTCAACGATGCATCCACTCTGAGACCTCTCAACAAAATTCGTACTTTCGTCGACCTCAAAAGCGGGAGGTGGAACCCATTTAGATGCCGCCTCCCCTCTTTTTTATAGAAATGTTTTATTTCGTGAAGTACAGAATGGTATTTTTTTCCTTTTTGCTCAAGAACCTCCCCTACTCTCCTGGGTTAGCTGATCCTTTCGTGGGGTCTCCTGCAAGTTGACTAAAAAATCAACAACATGCGACACTTTCCACCAGTCTACGGTGCAGTTATCTTTCTTTTTCAACGTCCCGTTTTGTTTATACTTATTTAAAGCTGTTTAGTCAAAACTGGGCGATCTACAGTTTTGGAATGGGAGTTCGCCTTCTGCACCGTTCTGGGTAGTGACCACGGAGGCGTCGACTGACTTGGTCACTTGCTCATCTCGTGACTCGGGGATATTGCACTTGCATGGTGCCTATTAGTTGTATGAAATCGATGGCCATTAAATTGTGTGATTCTGGGAGTCGTTTTTGATCACTTATTTTAGAGGCTGCCTAAGCACGAATCGTGGTTTGCTATTTGCGTGACTCAAGGGCCTTGATATTCGCATCAAAAGGGTTTGAAGAATTTAGCAGTCCACTCGACTCCCAAAGCCGCTTCTGAGGTGCCTTCTTTGTGGAACTTCACTACTTAGATTGGCTAGTTGGTTGACGCTAGTTTTTACATCTAGGATTATAGATGGGGTATGGATTTTGTAGCCACGTTCATCATCTTTAAGCAGTTGAAGTTTAGGTTAGCTTGAGTCGCCAATTGCTGCGCTAAAATTTGCTCGTATTACATTTTTTATAATGATAAGCTTTATTATTTAAAAAAAATGTCAGTTGTTCAGCTCAGCACAATTCTGAAACATTGTTTGATTGTTATAAATCATTTGCGGAGTTATCTGGGGTGTATTTTGCATTTTTATAGAAATACTGCTCTAGTTTGGATAGCCTAAATTCTAGAACAGACATTAGTCCATACTTTTTCGAAGGTTTTCCATTTATCAGTATTGATTCTGATCGATTATTGTACCAGAGCAGCCGTGATTACCAACCACAGATGATTTTAATTATTATGAGCAAAATATTTTTCTGAGCGTATTAAATTATGAGTTTCCTATTTACATGCTATGTCCAATGAGGCCACAATATTATAATGCAAATAAATATATTTGCAATCTGGTCCATTTCTGCTTTTGATTTATTGAAATCAAATTATTCGCCTGTCTGGCACTGAGTATGGTCAAGGGAAAGATGAATCGGCTTTCTAATGTGTCTGAAAGGAGGAGATTCATTATCGGTGTATTACATGTATCAAATAGCGAAATTTGTTTGGGTGGTAAAAGCAACCTTAAATCAGGGTAAAATTAATTTGAGGCTAAAAGATAGATCAATAGCAGTGCATAAAATGTTTAAATCAGGAGCGATCTAAAATTGTGTAGTCCATTGGAGATATTTAATTAAAAACAGGAAATCAAACTGTGAATATTAAAAAATTTATTAACGAATAAATTACCGGGGGCATTTGCCTCGTCGATTACTATGAGAACTAATACCTGCCGGATTTATTACGGCTAGTAAAATTATCGAATAATGGTTACATCTAAAAGCAAATCAAATAAAGCAAATGTTCAAAACTGAGCAGGAGATAGTAGAGGAAATGTAATGTTTGGATATAAATTCTATTATTTTTGATGAAGGCTATTTAAATTATAAAAATCGCAATTATTAAAACATTAATATTTTGTTGACGAAATTGATGCTGAAGTTATCATCGTTACTGTATATGCGAAAAATATGTTTACAGGAATGTAGGACTGTGTCTACCTTAAGGTATTCAAAGTAATTAATATTTCAATGCAAATTGAATTCGATCACGAAGATTTTTGGTCATTTTTATTTTGAATGTAAATATTTATCGGTTCATATGTTATAACGTACAGCAAATGTGTGTAACAGTAGAGTAAAATAGGCTAAGACGACTTTAAGAAAACAAGTCAAAAATTTCAAATTCGAAGAATCGCTTAGCGGATTTTATCTCACTGCCAATAAACCTTATTAGAATATATTTTTAATCCTTAAATAATCCCGAGACCGGGAGCGAAATTAACTTCCGCAGTATGTATTTTTCATTAAAATTTCGTTTAGTAGGCTTGTTGGCGGTGAAATGTCAGCATCTAGTTAATTTACATGCGGTCTAAATGTGCATGACTTCTTCATTACTATTAGATTAATATCAACAATTAATGCTTGTTAAAACATTGATGAAAACATTTCACGTGCCAAAAGGGAATTCGCAGTTAATTTAATTGATTTACACTTGTCAAGGTTAATGACTTAGCGGCAATATAAATTGTTTGGCCCTGACGTTGATTTGTCGGGCCTTTTTTCCCAGTCTTCTCCAGTTTTAACCCCAGTTTCGACATTTTTCGCTGATTATATGGCAATAATTGTCTATCGCTTTGGAATTTGCTGCACTGGAAGACACTTTCCATGTCGTCTGTCAGCGCATTTTAGGGGCTTCGCTACCGGCTCAACAACAGTTTTAAAATCTGAGAAACAGGGGCTTCGCATCGGTATACCAAAGGAAATATTTCCTGGTGAACAAAGAGTAGCTGTAACTCCACATGTGAGCTTTGTTTAGTAGCATCATTTAATGTAAAATCGTATTATCTTCCTCTATGTCATTCATTTTAGGCAGTGAAAACCTTAACGGATCGAGGCTTCAATTTAGTTGTTCAGGCTGGTGCTGGGGCTGCTGCACAATTCCGTGATGCAGATTATGCCGCAGCTGGTGCAAATCTAGTTCAAACTGGTTCGAAAGATCTTTTTTCGCAAAGTGATGTTGTTCTGAAAGTTCGCCCGCCTGTAATCGGCACCGAAGTACATTTATTGCGACCGAACAGCACCCTCATTAGCTTGGTCTACCCTGCTCAAAATAAAGTGAGTCATGCTAGCATTTTTTATTTTCGAGTTAACTTTATAAATTTTTTTCAATTGCTTTTTTTTATATTCAACACCACTTTGCTCCCTTTCGTTTTTATCCGGCCCGGTGTTAATAAAATACATTTTTTCCAAATCCGACTTTTTAACTCGCTTAACGTGTCGTTTTTATCATTTTTAGGAGCTTGTGGATAAACTTGCTAAACGTCAGATTACATTGCTTGCCCTTGATTGCATTCCACGGATCAGTCGAGCTCAAGCTTTTGATGTTCTCTCTAGCATGGCCAATATCGCAGGATACAAGGCCGTTATTGAAGCAGCCTCAAACTACAGCAATTTTTTTGCTGGTCAGTTTAGTGGCGAAAATTTTACTTAAACTATTTTATTTCCATTGGTCGAATATCGATTTTGTCTGTGTAATTAATTAATTAATAAGTGCTTGAATTTGGTGAGCGGCACAAATGTTCGGCTTTGATAGAAAACTTTAATTATTAATGACCTGTAGATACAGTCATTAATATGTTCGGCACGATTAAATTTTGGGAGCTTTTTACAAGCAATAATTATACGGCGTGAATGCAAACATGCCTACGAAATAGCTTTAACCAATGTACGGGCACATAGTGATTACCCACCTGCAATGCACCCATCCAGGTCAAATCACTGCAGCCGGTCGGATTCCACCTGCGAAAGTCCTTATTGTCGGTGGAGGTGTTGCCGGTCTCTCAGCCGCGGCCACGGCACGCGGTCTTGGAGCTACTGTGCGCGCTTTTGACACTCGAGAAGCGGTTAGAGAACAGGTGGAATCGTTTGGTGCTGAATTTCTTACAGTCAATGTGAAAGTGAGCTGTTTGCATCATCTATGCGCCTCTTATTTTCGCATAGTCAAATTCCTAAGTTTTGAATAAATCTCAAACATGTGTCCTCATATTTTCTGTCTAATTCATTGCTTCTTTTCTTTTACTCCATTTTATCGGCGTATCCACCCATCAGGAGTCAGGTGAGGGTGGTGGTGGTTACGCCAAAGTGATGTCCAAGGAATTCATCGACGCCGAAATGGCCCTGTTTGCCAAGCAAGCGAAGGAAGTGGACATCATAATTACCAGCGCTCTGATTCCCGGTAAACCCGCACCGAAACTCATTACGAAGGTAGGCACTCAAATGAATATATAATGATTAAAAATCTAAGATTCAATTTTGTCAGTATCAAAACTTCTATGAAGGGTGATTTTTATTCACTGCTTCCACTGCATTACAGTAGTGACGGCGAATACGACCGTTTATTCGCCTCCGGTCAGCTAAGTGTCACATTAGCTGTTGTCTGTTGCAGCCAATGGTCATTATTATCAGATCACCTCGTGAATTTAGTTTAATTCTGGCGGTAAAGTGGGATTGTATTTGAATACGACTGCCCTACTCGCCAGATTACGTGGCATGCTAAACGCATTGTTGGAGCGAACATCTCCAGACATTCGCGCACAACTGTCTTGAGATCACATCAAAACCATTGCGATGATTGGCACCAGAGACAACGACTGGCACCCAACGGAATGCGTTTACTGTTCTACATAATTCTTGGACCTCTTCACAAAAAGTTACTTGTTTTCTTGAATGAGCAAATCTATGCTACGATGCAGGTGATGTCTGTCATTCAAACTAATGTACTGCACATGTAGTTGCTGTTTCCTGGTTAATTAATCTACAGTTTAGAAAAAGTAACATTGAACTGCAACTGAAGTACACTTTCGAAAATTCGTGTCCATGTTTTTCATAAATTCGTGGCTTTTTCTCCCTGATTATTGCCTGATTGGTGGAAGTAGCTGGATCAAAATGATATGCGGTGCTAACGAAAATCCCCAGTGAATCGATGGGATGGTAGGAAAGTAGACAGTTCGCTAGGATTTGGATGAGCAAATGTTTTGTGAAATTTGGGTGCTTTTCAACGACGATTGACAATTTAAGTTCCACATTAATGATTGCTTCAGACACAGCAAACATGTTCATACAGATATGCGAGAATTGAAAATGTTTGCTCAAACAAGCACACTTGTGCCTGTGCGAAATGCATGCTAAAAATCAACAACCATTTCCTTGAAAATGTAAAAGAGAAATTAAGTCGTGGTGGAAGGCCTTTTGTGAATCTGCCTCATCAAAAAGCATGTGAAAAAGTAGCATCACACAGGGCTCAGATCTGTCCAGGAGTCGACAAGATTGCTGCAATTGAAGCAGTGCTTAATGGAACGATTGTGACTGGTGCTCATACACAGAACCGTTTATGTTCAGGCCAGGAGGCAACCTTCGTGAATATTGAGAGGATCACATAGGCTGAAGTAGGATTATCAGTTTCTTGAGGAAGTGGCAGCAACTGCGGTGATTTGCTTGCACTACCTCACAATCCTTCTCGTTAACAATCCACTAGAATCCGAGAACAGAGGCAAGACAGGCGACAGCGGATGCGACAAAAGATTCAGCTGAGTGTTTTATTTGGCGAAGTAAACATTTGGTTCAGTTTAGAACAGCGCTATTTTTGTTTTTAAATTAAATCCTGATGGGCTCTAGAGAGGTCTTAACTTTCACAAAACGCATATTCTACTCGCTATTTATACTGGTTTAGTCACAATGTTATATTAAAGTGACAATTGAGCATTACGAATATCCAGATTGGTATGCTTACTTGTAGTCATTGTGACGTACTTACAGATCTTCGTTTCAATTTCGTCGCTCATTTTGACCACAGGCACTTACGTTCTTTCGGGGTGTCAGTTTCGCTAATGCTGTTGATGTACTTCAATGTATGTTTGTCCACTGATGATGACGTCATTGGCAGTGAGGTCAACCCGGGGTCATGTTACATCTCCCACCAGAAAAAAACTAAATCTGGTCAAATACCCTCATTAATCAATAGTACAGGCTTGTTTTTGAAGGTGAGTGGTTTTTTTCCTTAATGCTTCTTTCATTAGCAGGCTTAGGTCGAAAATTGCTGACACTTATGTGTTTACGTGCGGGTAAACCTCCCACTCATTCTTAACCTTTTCTAAGAACTCTAGTGCCTGCTACAAATTAGTCATTTAAAAAATTGGCAAGATCAAATTAACCGTTTTTGAGAAGCACGGACAGCTTCGCCTTGTTTGTCGACCTTTGGTAGGAAAATCTCCGAATCATCATCGCTAAATCGATTTACTGATACTACTCAAGACATTTGGCATACGATCACCTAAAATTGACCAATGGGCATGAGCTCCCTCCCCACTCGTCAAATTAACTCGTGCAGAGAGAACCAACAAATTTACATTATCGTCCATCCTTTGCCTCATCCCCAAGCGGTCTTTTCTCGCTTTCAAATTGGGTTAATTTCAATTGGCGACCTTGAGTTGCAGATGAGACGTCCCGTTGGCCTGCTCGCTTTGCTAGCGAGTCACGACAACATTTTAGCGTTTTTGCAACCTGATTGTTCGTGTACAAGCGCCTCTGCGTTTGCGTTTTCTCGTTGGATTTTGGCGGTGGAAGACAACACCCATGACTGTCACACGTCAGTTGCCAGTTTTTTTCTGTTACTCTGATCTATCTTAGTATAGACAACTTGTGTTCTACGGACCGTCATTTTCACTTCGTCTCGCCGCATAGCGGAGTCAGTGTAACTGATATTCGTGGTCTCTGCAATGCCATCGTCCAAATTCATGCTGTGTACACTACTGATGCTCCAGTAGTAACGAGAAACCTCAATCAACATTGTCATCCACAGAATCCGCTAGCAGAACGGACAACAACCAAATGGGCATTAGAATGCATATATTAAGCGAATTGGGAAAGGTCTCATCAGTTTTACTGGTGACTCAGTTACAGCAGCCTCAAATACACCAGTTACCCGAAATGGTCAAGAAGACCAGAGGAAACGGGAGCACAGCTCAACCCAGTTGTATTCACGAATACTCATGGGTCTTAAACGCACACACGAGGGTATTTGTGCGAATGGGCCCGTGTTCATGCGTGTCTGCTAGACCAGTATGGACACGGAGACGGTCAGAGATCTGAACGCCCACATACATGTCTTTAAAGGGGTTGACAGCTGATGCTCACGTGATACGTTGGCCATACTCAGCGTTCATAAATGAAGAGCCGTGTGAGTATCAATCGTGAGGTCGAACTAGTGATATTGGAGGTCACCATTGCGAGTAAATTTCCACTTGATGATGAGAACTCCAGCAAGCTTTTCAAAATGCTCAACTCCCAAGATCCTCAATCTCGTCGATTTGCTTAACCGCATTATCGCATTTTTAGGAGACCGTTTGAGGTATTACTTAAGACGAGCATTCATTGTGGTAGACGTGAGCACAGTCCTATTTTCTATTAATTTTCGTGCATTGCAATATGGTGAAAGAGTAAATTAACGTGGTTTGCATGAGCGTTTTTTCATCTATTGGGTATTACATGATTGTGCATTGCTTGTACTTGGTACACAACGAAGAATAGCTGCGTGTGAGAACTGATGAAACGCTATAGGTAGGACGTACACACAGATATCAGTATACCTGCCCAGACAGGCTTCTACAGGTAAGCGATTTACGAAGATACAACTCCTCCTGTATTTGTCCTGTCTATCGATAACCCTTCCTTGACGTCAGCCTATGCAACTCTAGTCCGCTGACCTCATTTGCAGTTGTGCTGTCACAATCTTGGAAGATGAATAGTCATTTAAATGTCATCCGTATTTAGGCCATGGTTGATTCGATGCGTCCTGGAGCTGTGATTGTCGATCTGGCAGCCGAGGCTGGAGGTAATGTGGAAACAACGCGTCCAGGCGAGGCCTACGTCTACGGACCCAATCGAGTGGTCCACATCGGCTACACCGACTTTCCGTCGCGTCTCGCCGGCCAGGCATCGACGCTCTTCTCCAACAACTTGACCAACTTCCTCCTTTCAATGACGCCTAAGGACAAAGGTATTCGTCAGCTCCTTCTATCCTAGGCGTGGTTAAATGACTTAAAACGACACACACACACGGACCCTCATGTGGCAAGTACCACCTGTGCAACAATGCAGCCCATTTCATCTCCTTGTGCACACAAACAACTGCGGAATTCCTTATGTTAGTAGCTCGTTAATGGTAAAAAATTAGAGCCCCGCATTTCCCGACAGTCGTCTGGGTTGTTGCCGATTTTGGCTAACTCGTAATTTTCACGTACAGCATACATTCCGTCCGGTTGTCGCTTCATTCGTCATCGTCGACGGTTGTTTCCCATTTTGCCTCTCAACACCACACACACACACACAAACACGCCGGTACCAGAGCCTATTTGTGCTGCTAAAATTGGGTTGGCATTTTCTGTTTTTGTTGATGTTTTTCCATTTGACACCCACGTAAACTATTCCAAATTTAATCAAGTGTCGTACCGGTCTTTAGTACTTATGATAACTGAGGCAATTGCTGTCTTTCAGATGGGCCATCGTGATGCCAAACGTGCCACCCACACAACGACAACACTGATTGGCTACCCGTCATATTTATTTTTAGGAGGCTAACCAATGAGCTCTCGAGTCTTCATGGCCCTGGTTACTGTTCGCAAATTTCCAGCGCTGTTTTGCTAACCTATGAATTTATCGGCTGCAGTCATAGCCGCATGGCTGGCGCTAGCTTCACTCAAGAACGCGTGATTAGCAGAGTCGTAGTAGTTTGCGTGAGTACAGGTGCTACCTGTTGGAGCTATTTCCAGTCGCCAGGTGGTCGTTTTTTGCAAAATCTCTCCGCTTATCTTACGCAGCGTGGATTATTCTGTAATCAGACATCTACGAGGAAATCCATGACTCGGGAAGACAACTCATTCTGGCTATTCAAAAGGTAGACTTCAAGTCCCCACTGCAATTTGGTCAATATCCTGAAGCTGTACTGCGATTTTCGAAGCTGTCACCGCCACGACAATGCACTAGTCGGAGAGGTCTTAAAATCGTGCACCAAAACAAACCAAGACACTCAAAGACCTTGTTGTGTGCAAAGTTCATTGCAGAAAATTTAATTAAATGACACGCTGTGTTGCCAAAACGCTCCCAAACTTATCCAGCTGCTAGATCCGAGATTTGAGCCTAACTAATTATTAAATTTCTGCTTTTAAACAACATGAAACTTGTGTTTCTGTAGACGATAACTCCTTGCCCTTGTGTTTCGTGGCGATAGCTGAGACGTGAAGGGGTCTAAAAGGTATTCCTGATTGAAGCGTGCTCCACAGTTCCCCTCTTGATTTCTTGACATCAAGCAGTCCTAAGTGGAAGGATGGATGTGAAACCAGGGCTTCCACTTAATTTAAGACTGAAGCGAAGATCAGATTATCAGTGTATTGTAAATTCGGATTAAGTGGTTTGCTGACTGCAGAAATGCATTTTGATGTGGTGTGAACGAACCACTCGAGTTAACTAGGGGTTTCTGAAATCTGACAGGACGTGGCAATCCGGCTGCAGTTGAAGTCTATGAGAGGATAGTTCTCTGCATGGTTCACTTCGGACAATGTTATTCGATAAGGTAACTGTTGGGGAGGTCAGATGTTCACAGGACAATGTGCATAGTCCCCAGTCCGAAGTCATGTCTGGCGCCCCCTTCCTATTGGCTAGTTTCATAATAACTGCAGTCTAGGCACTTTTAGGCCCATGAGGTCATGTCTCGTTGTCTCTGCACTGACGCCAGTAGGAGGCCTTGATCGTAATCAGGTCTTAGACTTTAGCCACGACAAATAATACGGACAAAAATTAGAAGGACAACTACCTTCGTAATCACTGGCGCCAGACATAACAATTGACGATATGGATGGTGCATGTATTTTTGTTTATTGCTGAGGGTAACATTAATCAAAGTCCGAAGTTCAAAACAAACGCTGACCGACTGACGCATCAAGCAAACCAAATAGCTCCAACATGGAGATGTCAAATTGGTTCCTAGTGTTCCAGAACCTTGCTGGACTGTGGAGGCGCGATTCTCGTGAAATTCCTGTGACGCTCAGCTATTTTGAGCCTTTTATAAAATAAGGAGGCAATCTATGTGAAGTCAGGGGATGAAACGACAAACAGGGCGTTGACGTGGAGAAAACAAGCGACACCGAAATGCTGCATTTGCTTTTCGCAAGGCTGGATTTGTTGCCATCAAAAGTGCACTGGCGCAGCGTCCCGGCAGAGTAAATCATCTTTGAAAGTGTTTCAAACTTTGTTTAATCTTGCGAAATCCGTCAACATGGATTCCACGTCTTGCGATTGTTGATATTATTTAAGCTGTGCGGCACTTTTTTCTAAACTAAGTTGCACACTTCTTACATTGCTTGCTTTCAGAATCAAGAGGTCTTCTGAACATAAACTTGGACGACGAGGTGGTTCGGGGAAGCACCGTTTTGTACAAGGTGAGTTTGTTGATTCCCTATAGGCTAGGATTTAACTCGACTTTTTTAAACAAACACAATGCTATTTATTAAGGGTAACTTCCATGCCAAATCAGATTCTGTCAAAACGAGTGGCCTCTACAGCTGCATTACCTCATAACAGCGACATGTGATGTTTTGTATCTATCTTTGTCTCATTCTTTACCTCGAAGCCCTGGATTACGCTTCCTGGCAATATTTTACACATGCACACAATCTGCCCACTGCTGAAGCTTGTGCTGATAAGTAACGACCTCACACCACTTTCACGTCTCCTTCGAATCGATTTGCTGATTTCAAGCGTTTGTGTGGATTTCAAGCCAGTTGGTACTAGTTTAGTACGTTTAGACGAGGGAGCGAAATCCCCTAGTCAATAACTCAATCCTCTTTGCTCGTCGCATCATACAGCTCTCAAATTCGTGTGTATTCATGTCACAAAAGTGCACACGAGGGACAGGGGGGATGAAGGCTGCCAACCAATAGAATTCAACTCCACTAGGCGTGCTTGCATGAGCAATGTAGACACTGGGACCAGAGGGGGTGGCGGCAGAGTTGACTGACCAAGTCATCATGAGACTGCACTTTGATGGAACAGTAAAGTCATATTTTAGGCGTCTTGCTTCAAGTTGTCTTCTGCCGAATTCCGCACTAATTCACCCCTCACCATTCGGTACCTCCCTTAAAAATCAATATTAGGGAAAAGACGGTTGTTAATCTCCTTTGGTAAATAAGATATTCTCATTAGGAAACTAAATATAATTCTCCCAATGTCTTCTGGTATGGAAATTGGATTCATGTCCGTGTCTGCGTCGTTGGCTTCCTGTTCGTTTTCGAACACCACACGTTTACTTATCATGACATAACTTTAACCACAATGCGTCCCAGACAACCGCAAACAAATTACCTAGGTTATTTCGAAATACTCCCACTGTGTTTCTTCAAAGTCAGCTCCTGTCATTTCATCGAATGTCCGATTGTCATGGAGAAAAAAATTTTGGCCGGATGTTGCCAAAACCTGACCATTCGGTTTGTTTTATGACGCATAACATCCACACACAAAACCATTTAAGGTGTGTTGTTTGTACCGACACTAACGACATATTTCTGGTGCGTTATCTCAATGTTTCGCCCATTGTGTAAATCATAGTAAACACGCAATCCAGCCACACCCCTTTTTAACAGGTTGTTTGGGCACATCCTTCGAGTTTTTGAAGACCACTCCCAGAAGCCAGTCAATGTCCACTGAAGGCAGTTTTCTTTACCTGAATAGGGTGAACTGATGTGGCCCCCGCCACCACCACCGGCAGCCGCCGCCGCCGCGCCTCCCGTGGCAACGACCTCCAAGAAGGTCGCGGCGGAAACAGCGGCCGCAGTGGCCGCCGTGCCAGTCGATCCGCGTGTCGCCAAACTCAAGTCATCTCTCGCGACCAGCGTCGGTCTGTGCGGATTGGTGGGTCTCGGTTTGTCATCGCCCTCACCAGCCTTCACCCAGATGCTCTCAACTTTCAGTTTGGCTGGAATTGTCGGTGCGTAGTAGTCTACTGAACCGGGATTCAGTAGTATTCTGCCCATAACACACTGTTTTTGTACGTACTTGGCAACTTTTTCATGTCGCCTAGGTTATCACACGGTGTGGGGTGTCACACCGGCCCTGCATTCACCTCTGATGTCCGTTACCAACGCCATTTCGGGGATAACTGCTGTGGGAGGCCTCCTGCTCATGGGCGGATCCCTCCTACCCGCTACTGTCCCCCAATCGATGGCCGCCCTAGCAACCCTGGTCTCCGCTGTGAACATTGGTGGCGGCTTCCTGGTGACCCAGCGAATGCTGAACATGTTTAAGCGACCCAGTATGTGTATCCGCCAGTCACGACGATGTTGTGGTTTTCATTCTCAAGTCATCGTTCGATTCTTAAAGACACTTCAGTTTTATCGAAGTCTCCGCGATTTAAAATGACGCAATCGTCACTGATAGCTGTTTAACGTGTTAACGTGTGGTATGTAGTGCGCTGGAATTTCATTTTGGAATCAGCTAAGACACTAACAGGCTCACACACTCCTCAGTCAGCTGTGGTTTCGTCACGTGAGGCCGTTACGCACACACGACACACTGGAGCTCGAATTTTCTCAACCTTCAGTTTGACTGTAATTGTCTGTAGCTTAATGTCTACTGAAACAGAAATGAGTAGTTTACTGTGATCAGTAAAGCGCCTTCCTTGTTCCTCCTAGCCGACGCACCAGAGCACAACTACCTCTTTGGCATCCCTGCGCTGGCCCTCCTAGGCACCTACGGCTACAGCGTCCTTCACTTCGCGCCGACCGTCGGCCTTGACGACGTCCATCAGACGGCCTACCTTGCGTCCTCGCTCTGCTGCATTGCTGCCATCACCGCGCTGGCCAGTCAAAAAACCAGTCGACTTGGTAAGTGCGTTCTTGCGCGAACAAGCAAGTGCCACCCTCCTCTCTCAGCGTGCGCGCAGGCCTCCTGCCCATCGCCCATTGGACACGCGGTCATGCAGCTGAAATCCATTCAATGAATCGTCTGTTAAAGTGTCACGACGAACCCCCAAAAGAGGGACTTGGTCAATTTCATGGTGATATTTCGGTCTCACTCAAAACTCTGGTACAAAATTGTCATGCATTTATCTAAATAGCGTAAAATGAACCAGAATCAGCTCTCGGTTAGGCTTATTAACGCGATACGAATGGACCACTTGACTGAGTAGTCTTATGGACCAATAGACTTTAGCCTTTCGGTCAATAACACCCGGTTCCATGGTTATTGTGCGTAAATTGCTCAAATCAGCTTATCAGTGCAACCTTTTTCTTCCGTGGTTGTTAATCAGGCAATTTGTTGGGACTGACTGGTGTTTCGGGGGGTCTGGCGGTGACCCTGGGACTGCTCCAACCCCAACCGGATGTGCTGGCTCAGATGCTCGGTTGTCTGCTCATTGGTGGATCCGTGGGAGGGTACGCGGCCTCGCGCATTGAAGTCACCAGTTTACCTCAAATGGTGGCCCTCTTTCACAGGTTGGCTTCCTCATACCCTCCTACTTATATTTCAACAGTAGTAGCTATTTTTTTATTCTCAAAGCGGTGAGCGCTAGTGGTAAAAGCAGGATAAGCAGTCCAGATTTTTAAACAATTAGTCAAACGTATGTGCTTAGTTTGGCGACAAACAACTTTCTTTAAAATGTATCTTTGGGTTCTCTTTTTGCATCCTAGCTTGGTTGGCGTCGCCGCAATGCTGACATGTGTGGCCAATTACATAATCGAGGCTCCAGTCTTGTTCGCAGACTCAAGTCTCTATGGCGCCGGTCAACTTATGAAAACCGTGGCCTATCTGGGCACGTGGATCGGGGGTGTCACCTTCACCGGATCTCTCGTAGCCTTCGGCAAACTCCAGGGTAGGCTAGCGCTTAAATAACTCCCATTATAATCCAAACTACCCACGTTTTTACTAGCGCCAGTTTTCGTAAGCTAACACTCCGCTGCTTTCCCCTTGCGTTGCTCGCCTGCCCGGCCTAACCAATCACCTATTTGCGCCTGCAGACGCTCTTCAGCCGCCCAAATGTTCGGTCACGTGATGGGTAGGTTTTGCTGCGTGGGGCTAAGTCGTTGTTTCGGTGATGCCGCAGTTAATCACCTCGATTCGCGTCTCGCCAGCATTGGATTCTCAAATTCTTTTGCATTAATTTGGGACCGACTGAAACCATGTGAGGCAGTTTTCGGTCGTTCTCCTTAATACGCCAACGTTCGTGGCTTCATTGGTGCTCTCAGTCTGAAAGTTGTCGATGTAACACGTTCTCCCTTATCTTCAGGTCTTTTGGACTCCAAGCCACTGCTGCTGCCGATGCGCCATGCCCTCAACACCACCCTCGTAGGTGTCTCCACTGCGGGCCTGGCAGCCTTCCTGAGTGCTGGTGGGGGCTTGGACAATCCCCTTATGCCCCTAGCGATGCTCGTCGGTGGTGCCGCCGTCGCCGGGTCGGTTTCTGGGGTAACTCTCACCGCAGCCATTGGAGGTTAGTTTGCTCGGACACCCCGAACAATCTGTACAAAGTGAGTCATACACAGCGTCCTCCTCTCGTGTTCAGGCGCCGACATGCCGGTCGTCATCACCGTGCTGAACAGCTACTCGGGCTGGGCGCTGTGCGCGGAGGGCTTCATGTTGAACAACAGCCTGATGACGGTGGTTGGAGCACTCATCGGCTCCTCGGGTGCCATTCTCTCCTACATCATGTGCCGCGCCATGAACCGCTCTCTGCCGAACGTCATTCTCGGGGGCTATGGCACCTCCAGCTACGCGGGCGGTCAAAGCATGGAAATCACGGGTACGTCTTGACCCCAGGGTGAATGAGCAGGTCACAGCCTTGCAGTAGCGTGTTGGTAGCCAACGATCCAGGCGATGCCGATGACATAGAAGTCGGTACAATGGAAAAGTCTGTAGAAATTGGTCGACAATTCCAATTGTGCTTCTTTGCAATTGCCAAAATATCGCATCTCTGGAAGTCTTGGTGACGTAAGCCCATCTTGAACTAGTGGACCCAGCTGGTTGAATGACTTCAGATGACAAATCTTTCTTAGAAAAGTACTTGATAAATAACCAAAGACATCGTGTGAAATCAGCTGGAGGTTTGGTGTGAGTCAAATATGCGATTTCGGACACCACCACGAGTAAGATACTTTGAATAGTCTGATGATGCCGTGGTCAATCAATCACAATCGTGAATTTTGCCCCAAAACCCCGGTGACTTCACGGATATTTCGTTTTCTTTGATGAAAAACGAAGAGGTATTGATTTTTGGTACGTGCTTGAGTTCCTCGGTTTCGATTGTAGGCACTCACCGCGAGACCACAGTTGAGGCAGTTGGTGACCTGCTGAAAGACGCTAAAGACGTCATCATCGCGCCTGGGTACGGTTTGTGCGTGGCCAAGGCGCAATACCCGATCGCTGAGCTCGTGAAACTCCTCACCAAGCAGGGCAAACGCGTCCGTTTTGCAATCCATCCAGTCGCCGGTGAGTCACACACGCCATCACTCTTCGCACTGATTCAGCTACTCTGACTGGTTTAAATTGGACTGCTTCACGTGGTGTGTCTGTCACGTCTCCATAGGTCGAATGCCGGGCCAGCTGAATGTTCTACTGGCCGAAGCGGGCGTCCCCTACGACATTGTCTACGAGATGGACGAAATCAATGCCGACTTTCCGAAGGCCGACGTCGTTCTGGTTATCGGGGCCAACGACACCGTCAACTCGGCTGCCGAAGAGGACCCCAACTCCATCCTCGCCGGTATGCCCGTTCTCCGTGTGTGGCTGGCTAAGAAAGTGAGTCTCTTCCAGCCAATCATATCACCCCAGCCTCAGTAATGTGTTGTGCTTGTGCAGTTGGCTCCACCCCTAGCTGTACCTTCCATCCTGAAGATCGCGGGTTCGGCTCCCGGTGGTAAAGCATGGTGTGAGGACCTAGACAATACCATTGTCTCTAAAATTCCCTGCTGAGGGTACCAAATCCACCAAATATTTTAACAACTTTCAAATCCATTGTACTCTAGACTTCGTTGCCTTCTGAGTCGTATCCATTATGCCAAGCAAAGCATTTTTGAGTATGGCTGAGGCAAACATGCAGAAACCGATTTCAATATAAACGGGTTCAACCGTTGACGGTTTCAGGTGATCATGGTTAAGCGGACCCTCGGTGTTGGCTATGCTGCCGTCGACAACCCAGTCTTCTTCAAGGAGAACACCGACATGCTCCTGGGTGATGCTAAGAAAGTGTGCGACGGTCTCTTGGCCCAATTCAACAAGGAATAGGCCTGCGATCTCCTCCTTCCTCCTATCGCCCACACCACATTCCCTCATTGCCACCCTCTTGCCAATTAGCTCCAACCTGGCCAGCTGCAGTAGAGCCGCATCCACACGTTGCACGCAGACTAAATGTTCAAAATTTTCACTTCGCCGCATAATCACACACCCACAGATTCCTTGACTCAAATAGGCCGAGGTTCTTCAAATCTGTGAAAAATCCCATCAACTTGCCATTTTAGCGCTAAAATAATCCGATTGAGGCCAGACACACAACAAATTTTGAGTCGTTTGAAACCAGCAAACGCCCCTACGAATATATATTCCACCGAATAACCTCGACGTGTAATTAAAAAACTCCTCGGGGTTTCTCAAATCGCAGCGTAGGACCAATAACACCACGTCTGCCTGTTCAGAATATTTCAACAAACAAGTTAGTTTTAATACCTATGCAGTATCACTTCAAACAGAATGAAGCAGAATGGTTTTTCACAAAATCACTTTTTTTCAAAGTAGACTTTTCCTCGACACTAAACCCACACTCATGCGGATTTCGGCACACGATTTATTTGCAACGGGCTAGACATTATATAAAAGAATGACATTACGAGATGCTGGCAAGAATAGTGTCGCATTAGGAGTAAATCAAAGCATTAGAACAGGCGTGAGAATAACTGATTAATGGGGTGTTGAAAGAGTCAGGAGGGGCGGAGGAGCAAGGGCGTTGATCAGCGCCTCGATGTCTAGGGTTACCTTCCCACCCCAGATACTGTCGCTTTCGAGCGTGGGATCCACTTGTAGAAAAGACTTCTGGCTCTACAAGCAAGCGAGAACATGCACATTTTTGACATGGCATTCGGAAGAATTCAAGTGAGCAGACCACTTTTAACGCCAAACTGCCCCTAGGGCATCACTCTAGCTGCTTCCCCTCAGTAGACTAGTTCTCTTTCACGCATTAAACATGCATCAAGAAACTCCCATCGAGTAACGATAATGAGTCCGAAATTGGAGTGGCGTTCGTTTGTGCGTTGAGCTGCAGAAGTCGGCTTGACAATGGAACGCCGAGACACGTCACAATGCTGGCGCAACTTAATTTCGTCCATTTAAGGCCGATTAACCAAACTAAACCGGGAATTTAGTTGGGTGAAGGTGACCGTGGTGAAATTGGCGATGAAGATGGATGGTGCCTCGCACCGAATGGCCTTTTTTACCCGTTTGTACCACAAAGTTGTATTCAGAAGAGCAAGTAGTGGATTATCAGCGGGAGCAGATGAACAGAGGCTTGCCCGAACGGGGTTGTCTCAAGCTGATTGGCTGCCGTAACTCACCCATGCCTTTTATTGGTCCCAGCTAGTAGGTACTCTATAAACACGCCCACACGCTCAAAGACACATCGTACCTAGTGGGGGAATCAAAGGTTGTCATAACATCCGACCGATAGAATTGCAAAGCTGCTACAAGCCATTGGCCGGAGATCTCTTTAGAGGTAAGCTTGTTGGATGGAGCCCCCCCCCCCAAAAAAACCAGGCCTAGAAGTAGGAAGCCTTCTCACCACGAGGTGGAGTGTCAACAGTTTGCGAAAATGAGCACTTACCTTTGGCTGAGGAAAAGGACCAAACGGTGAAGGCTGGTTGAGCAATTGACTGAAACAAAATGGATTCGAGTTACTCCAAAAAGAAGTCATTGAAGATCTCCCAAGACCCTTTTACATTATAACAGTTTGGTGAATTCCCCATGCTCCAATCAAACAGATATGCCAATTCACTGACCAACCATAGCTCTGTAATGCAATACGACTGTTGATTGGCCAGGAAGTTAGGCCTTTAATCGAAGACGGAACCAACCACGTTAGAAAATAAAAAGTGTAGGAAGATGCTTCATAACTTATTTTAAAAAGCAGCGCTCTCACGTTTACAAGTGCCACCAAAACTCACTTTGATACTGACAAATGGAGGGCGCTTTGTGCTGGTGGAGCGCAGGGCAAAGGAGTCTTGGCGGTTCGGAAAGCATTAGGCGGTTGCAAAGCGTTAGGAGAGGTCACAACATTGGACATTGTACTCCTTGCACGTTTCTTCTTCCTGTAAGGTAAGGAAATAAACCCGATTTCGAGTAGAACGAGGAGTAAAAAATTTAGGTTGACTAGGTGGACGTCGTGAAGCGGTGCGGTCGTTCGCTGAAGTCAATTTTCTAAAAGGACGTCTAGTTTTTTAGACAAGTCAATGACCACACTTACTCCTTTTTTGGAAGACTCGGGTGCTGACGGTCTTTAGATTGCGTCCTTGAAACTGAAAACGCTGAGGGAGGCAGGAGTGTGCCCACCTGGAAATCACGGAGCGCCTCAGACGCCGTGGGAAAACTGGCTGATTGGTGGAGACGGGTTGCAGTCACGTGGTGTTCCGTTAAACTAGCAGATCGAAGCAACGCAGCAGCAGGCGGGACATCTTGTTGGCGAAGTTTCACATACTCTCTCAATTGCCTGATGAACAAAGAAAATACTGGTAGCTAAGACAAAACTAACAGGTTGAGAAAACACACTGCGATGCAAACAAGCACGAAAATAAAGGAAATGTAGTGCCCTAGTTGCTAGGTTTTCTTCAACTCGCTCACCTAACGAATGGAATGATGCAGTAAAAAATATTTGGCTTGAGCTTCATTGTGGTCATTGGGGTGTCGTCTTGCATGTTGCATGGGAGATTGGCCAAACTGAACCACGTGATTGCCTAAAAAGGGTTTCGATAGTTAAGACTTCGGGAGATTACTTTATATTATCAAAAAATAGGTAATCTTTAAAAACTCGCCTCTATTTCATTTTGGGTCGATGGTTGAAGGCGGGTAGTACGTGGAAATCCCTCAACAATGTATGCTCGACGCTTTGTTTCACCAACAATTGTCTCAAGGAAAAGATTTTCGTCAATTCGATGCTCTATGTTTAATCCAGTTTCTTCCATAACTTCTCGGATTGCACATTCCTGCAACGTCTCACCCTGATTCACCTTCCCTCCAGGGAAAGTCCACCGGTCATTGTTGAAACCTTGGACCAGCAAGACCATGGAGAGGTATTCATCGAGGATGACTGCACTTCCAGTGCAGGTCGTCCCGCGATAGTGTTTCCATTCAAAGAATTTTTCCTTCCACTGTGTCTTTTTTGGAATAAGATGAGTAAAGCGCTCAAACACTACAATGAATGCATAGAACTATTGTGTCAATACGAAACACGGAGATGAACAACACATGGCAGCATACTAGACAACAGTAAACAGAGCTTACTTTGTTGACAAAAGCCAAAAAAGTCAACACCAGCTTCTTGCGTATCCTTGAGACAGTTATCGAGGTAAAACCAGTGAGCCCATTCCAATTCGGCGAAGATCCGCACGAAATTAACCTTCCACTCATCTTTCATGGATTGTGGGACATTTGAGATAAAAAGGCTGCAGTGCAAAGAACGGCATTACAGAACACAGAATAGGAATTAATAGATACAAATCGATTTACTTACGAATAAAGAAGCTTTAGCGTCTCTTCGGGAATCTTCAGAGGTATATTTGTCATTCTGTACAATGAATAGGGATACTTCAGACGATTGGATAGAAAATTTGACAACTAAACGACTAAAAGTGTAAGTAGACTACACCAGTGAGTAGACTTTTGGGCATTTAAATTCCTGTGGCGCAAAAAATATGTTGCAACAAATAAGAGGAAAGTGATAGTTAAAATAGGCCAGGATAGACGGAAGTTACTAAGCACATAATAGTAATAAAATTTAAGTGCATGAAAATTCAAAAATTGTGCTCATTGTCTAGTTCTATAGAGTAATCGCGCAAACTCACATCCCCAAATGTGGGAAACTCGGCGACGAAAATGAGTCAAGGTGCCCGGCCTTACAAACAATGATCATGAACAAAGGACACTTTAAAGAATAAACAAATTTAGGTCAACATTATTTTTGACAGTTTATTTAGTTACGATTCTCATTTTCTAATTTATCTCACAAACGCAGTGAAATTTGTTTATTAGTATATGTTTATTACTCTAGATGTTAATTCTCACTCTGAATCCATGCCTATGTCGGAAAACCGATCGAGATCCCCTAAATGTCTATTTTAGTTATACTTACCATAACGTTTTAGTTTTCAGAGCTTTAAAGCAAATCCTAATTGTCAAGATATTAGGGTCTGCCTACTTAAGCCGATTTTGGTGTGCATGGGCGCCATGTGTCAAAGGGCATCAGCACAATTTATGAGCCTTGCACAGGTATCTTTTATGATCCAGAGGTCATATTAAGAAGTTTTATGTTAACTGAAAAAAGATATCGTAAGTTATTTGAAACTACGCCGATGGAACAAATTTCTTGGCTGGTGTAAGCAGTCTAGCCAATTTAGTAATGTGGCACTAAGTAACGCAGAGCACAATTAAACCGGTAAAGCATTGCTATAGAGACTACGCGAGGCCGATCGATATTAATACTTAGACTTATTGGGTTTCATTGAATCGAAAATTTGCTTAAAACCATGGATTTAACCAAATTAAATGAAACAGGACAAGATATTTCGAAAAGAGATGGCATTTTGCTTCTTATGCAGCAACATATCATAAATTTGCTCAAATATTCACGAACGGCTCACGCTTGATCATAGATGTCAGGATTTATTGGGCACACTGTTTTATTGGTAGATTAGGCACAAAGGTTTTCAGGTCAGTAAATTGCTTTTCGCAATATAATTATCTTGTGTTAATTTAAAATAGCGATACAAATTACAGACAAAGACTAATAATCAACAAGACTCAAGCCTTTCTTCTGCGTTCTTGGTGAAATAACTGAAAACTCTTTCACTGTAACCACTCAAAAGCCTTTAAATTTGTTGATAGATGAGCTCTGTTTGGTTTCCTATATCAAATTCATTGAAGTATACATACGACCGTGTTGATCCAGTTTATTGGTCCTGTCGAAATTTACTACCAAGTAATCATCAAACATTTTGAAAAGAATCTACTTCATTATCTTATCTACAACAAGTCTTAAAGGTGGAGTTAAACAATCCAACAATTTCAAATGTTTAACAAAGCCTTGCGCTAAAATGCTACTTAAATAAAGAGAAGCCAATTTTTTTAAAGTCTTACATTCTAACGCAAACCATCAAAAAGCTAAAAATAAACAAGTTGAAAATTGTTACACTGTGTTGGAATAGGTAAAATTAGAGCAATTTGAGGCTACATTACTCGCCTCTTAATTGTTTTAGTCATCTTTGCAAGCTGAAATTATTAAGACAAACAAACAGAAATGTCAGATTTTCTTCGAGAAGTCATTGTTGTTTCTTGCGTCAGGCGTCACAAGAAGGCCAGTCTTCCCTTCTGACCTCAAACTCACTTAAAAGCAAGCCACTTGACTCCGATTCATTGGGTTTAGGTGTCATACAAGTTTCAGCAGTTTACAATTAATTCACGAAACCAACATCATTTGAACTCAAAGAGCCGTGATCATACTTGTAGCATTGTCTTCTGTTAAGCGGCAGGTTCTGCGCCCTCGGCATCGTACTAAGCCACACATTTTTACCTGGTTTCTGTTGCCTCTTTACTACTTGAATAAACAAAATTAGGAAAAATTAAGTTAGAAAGTTCCTGAGTCGTCTGATTTATGGTCAATTAATCTCGAAGGGGCTTCATTGTGGTCACATTCCGAATCTCATAACCATTTCCCCAGCTACGCGAGTTACAAATTTGTAAACTTCATTAACCCCAGTTCTTACCAGCGAGGGTTCGTCGAACTTACTAACACGTTTCAGCAAACTGAGAGCATTTAGTACTGGTTGCCTGGAGTCCATTAAATGCGTTAGTAGAAGGAAGACAAAAGCTGTCGGTTTGTGGATTCCTTAAAGTACTCGCTCTTCCTTTTGGCTTGTGAAATTTTTTCTTTAACAATGAAATACTTATTCTAATGCCCCTGAAAAATCAGACATTTGCGGTGACAAGAAGTCTTTGTAATTCCAATGGAAACCTCCAGTCCTGACCCACGATAACTGTTTAAAGCTAGCCTCCTAACTAGCACTCAACAAGTGTCATAATTAGCTCTCAGTGAATGCGTGCAAAGTACTGATTTGCACCAGCCAATAGAAGTCAGAGTATAATACCACGATTTGCAGATAATTGTGTTCATGGTATTGTGAAAGGGAACGTGGCGATGTGGTGGTTCATGGAACTTCCAGTGGCTAACTGGTTGGCAGTGGGGTGTTATCTCTTGTATGGAAACAACCGCAACCCCCTCTACGGCACATCTCGACCAATGTTTCTCCACGAAATCTTCCACGAAGTCTTCCATCTTTCCCGAGAGGAAAATCGATTGCGAAAGGATCATGTATACTTCCAAAACCCGTAATGTCGGTAACCGAATTGGGCCCAGTGTTTGGGCCTTCTAAAATATTATATTTTTATTGTTACTCTATTCTAATGAGTACCATCTTCCGTATCAACAGCTCAAAGCTACATCAAGAAGTCTAATTTTCTCTGCATAAATTGAACGAACCTCATAAAGTATTGTACAGTCCCGCATTCACTCAAGTGTCATAGCAGTTACTCAGAAAATAATAAATGTGACCTCATCAACAGATCGAGGCCCCAGAATTCACCACATCATAGCACCACAATATCTCACGAAATTCGTCAACGTCACAAAGAGGCCTCTGTGCGTGTATGTGTGTTTTCAATCGCCAGGAGTGTGTGAGTGAGCTGAAATGACACCGGTTGTGGTTTTAAAATCTCAGTCGTGTGAGTGACTTCTACCAAAAGAATACTGATCCTTACAATCTCTCTAATAAGCTTTTATGGTACACTCGTGATTGGCTGGTTGATGGCCAATGAGGAGTGTCCCACATGATGCAATGTTTTAACTCCTAACTAGTACAAATTTGTTTTTTTTGATGGGAGAGTCAACATCCCACAAAACCCTAATCAGAGTATTAAAATTAAAATTTTTATATAATAATTTTCCCGGCCAATCATCCATGCACACTAGCCCATGTCGACTCGCACCTCCATTACGGTCATCAAATTGACTCACTCCTACGCTGAATGTATCCCTAATTTTATTGGTTGTCAAGGCTCCACTTCAAATGTAACTCAGCAAAAGATCTCCAATAGGAACGTGGGGTGTACGCTGGTCAAACATAACAGTATAGGAGCTAGTCAAACGAATAATCCTTTAGTTAATAATTTAATTCCACGTGAAAGTTCAAAACACAATTAAATCCAACAATCCAACTGGGAAGCCCATTTACTTCCAACAGACACACCCAGGTTAGACGATTCAACATGTGATTGCAGATTATGCAAGCATCATGACGGCGATAAATCCCACTGCTATTGACGTCGACGTTACACCAGAATGCGGTCCCATTAATCAGTGCCAAGAGAGTGTGAAAAAAGGAAAATCACTGGTCTCCTTATTTCACTCATGCTTTTAATAGACTGAGAGAAGACTTTGATGTTCAGGGCGTGCATAGTACCGGCAATATATTATTCTCTTGCACATCCTTTCCTGGTGGATTTGGGGGGGATAAGTGAGTGCCAATTATGCCCAGCACTTCAGCCAGCCCAGGAAAGATCCAATTCCTTGAACGAAATCCACAAGGTGTTTGGTAGAAGTAGATGCCATATCAGAGATCAGGATTCGGTTGAATTAAGTCAAGCAAATTCTGATGGTGGCCTACAACTGCGAAAGGTCCAGTTGATTTAAAGCAGTGTGGGGACGCTCACACGAAACATCAGTGTGGCAATCTACCAACAGGACCGCCAAAATAATCAGTAATGATGATTAGACTCAACATAGTGGAATAGCATTCCTGAGAAGTGACTTAGGCATGGAAGTGATAGGCTGAATTGCTAGATTGTCTCCTTTTCACAGCCAAAAGAAGAAGTGAAATATATCCATGCGTGAACGGCATTCCCTCCAACTTGATATCTATGAAAGTTATTTGGACAGGGGGAGCATGCACACTTATGTAGACAACTACGTTCTTTCCAACCAATCAGTTTACCCTGCCACACCCAAACTCAAAGTCGAAACTTGTTCACATTGCGCTTATATCAGCATTGATTGGTTTGTAGAGGATGAATAGCGATCGCGCCTGAGTGAACCCCGTTTACAGACTCCCGTCATCCGTTCACTCATCCACACACCCCCACACTTGGCGGACGTGACGCTAATAAAAGGTCGTGTCCTCTGTCGCCTCTTTTTCCACTCTTCTTTAGTTGTTACGGGCTGTTAACTAGAGGGTTGTAAGGTAGTGCTAAAACACAAGCTACTACAGGTTCGATAACAAAATATGTGGCCGTCCTTTTAGAAATCGGTCCAAACTTTCGTTAAAGGCAGCAGTGGGGGACAAATTTGAGGTACCGGAAAGACTAATA